AGTTACGTATTGTCTCCCAGCCCTAATTATTCATGCATTAGAATAGGCAGCCACCGGGCACTGCTAGAGCTCAGCCTTGCATCGTCAATAAATTCTGCTTTTGACCAAAAGATTCATGCAGAGATTGTCCTAGTTTGGGTGCTTAACATATGGAGATAGATCATTTTCAGATTAGACTAGTACTGGATGCATTAATTGATAAATTGTTTCTCCTCCTTGGGGAATATTCATCACAGGATCAGTATTTGTGAGGTGGTGGAAAGCACCAAGAATTAAAACCAAAAATCTAATCAGGTAACTTGAATGTGATATGAACGCTGTTATACCGTAAAAATTCGAAAATAAGCCCGGGGCTTATATTTTTCAAAGGCCTTTTGAGGGGCTTATTTTGGAGGGGCTTATATTCGAGGGGCTTATATACGAGGGAAATTTATGTTTCAAAATCGATTGGGCTAGCCTTATAGTTGGAAGGAAATTTACCGTTTTGCTTTGTTTTTACTTTGTATTGGAGGCAATTTTCCAATAGTACAATTTCGGACTTATGTTTGGAGGGGCGATTTAACGGAGGGTTTTTTGTGTTACCGCTTGGGGGCTTATATTTGAGGGGCTTATACATGGACGGCTTATTTTCAGAATTTAACGGTATTTTTTGTGTCACAAGAATTAAGATATTAATTCATCTGTATTTACCACAAAATGTACATGTATATTCACGTTGCATTTACTACTAAAATTTGTGGATGAAAATGTAAATGTTATAGCTATGGAAAACTAGTAGCTGTTTATCCTTGAAATGATTACAATGAATCTAATTTCTTCTTTTGCTTTTCAAATTTGCAGTATAATCTTTTGTGAAGCTGTTGCCATTTACGGCATTATCATGTCTATTGTTCTCCAGTAACTACATGTGGTAAGCTAATGAAAATCACCTTAGAAGTACTTTTTTAGCATTGAAACAAAGGGAGGATTCTGATGCAAAAAACAAGCCTAAACTTGGTGTCTTTTCTGTCATCTACATGTGTTGAGTAGAACCTCCATAATTATAACAAAGTCCTTGGTATAATGAACGATTCTCTTTACTCCAGTAGCCGTAAAATACATTGAAAAGAAGCTCGATGTAACAAAACCTTTTTATAGTGAACAAATTTTGCCAGTCCCTTGTCCCTTTAATATATCGAGGTTCCGCTGTACCTCTCCCACTACAAGCATTACATTTTTTGCAATGACATTGTACGTAAAATGTTATCATTAATTTTTATTTTAATCTCGATTCAAAAGCAACTAAAAGCTCAAGTATACTAAATATGTTGCTCTTTTTCTCAGCAAAGAGTTTCTCAATGACATATATTAATTTATTATATATATCAGTGTTAAAATGGTTGTGTACTTGATATGGCATTCTTTGTTTGTTAATATAAGTATGTAATTTATTCATTTGCTTATCACAGAATGTTGATGTGGATTCACTTACAAAAATGAAGGACATTAGACAGGTCCATAGTTCAGGTAAAATAAGGTTTATTTTAGTCACCACTGAAGCTTTTTATAATTGAAAATAGCTTGCCTTCAACTCTGAAAAAGTTTGAAGTGTCTATGTATTAACTGCATTTCTCCAAACCATGAAATGTTCATGAAAAAAGTGAACAGGGTTTGCAAATTTTATTGATGAGTGGAGTCAGTGTGACTTCTGCTTCACAAATTTTGGAGTCATTTTGGAATATCTGGAGTCAAGTATCAGAACGAAAAAAGCCATTTTCAGACTTTCCAGCACGTGGTCCTGGCACGTACGTACATACATTATTATGGGGGATACACCTAGTAGCTGTGGTGGTCCGCTGACCTGGAAACTCAAACCCATGATGCGGTCACCGAGTAAAGTTTGAGCGTAATTTACCCTCTTCCTGTTTTGTCGCAGCAGTATAATTTTTAATTTCAATGATTTAATTAAGGTTACAATGTTTACAATAACATAAATTGTATTTGTTGTGAAAAGGTAAGGACAAAACTGTGTTTGTTACAAAATTTTGGAGTCAAAGTGGCTCCCTGTTTGTTACTGAAAATTTCTGGAGTCGAAGTGACCCCTTCCATAACCTCAGTGGAGTAAACTGAACAATTTTGGCGTAAAATACAGCAAATTTTGCGTATTTGCGAACCCTGAGTGAATGAAGTTAACAGGTGAATATTTGTTTTGCTACACTAAACTTCTCATTATTTGATTGTCCTCCAAACTGTCTGTGATTCCTCATTAATTTGTCCCTTTCTTGATGAGAATACCAGTAATAACATTATTACTTTTTAGGGGTATAGTGTTCAGCCTGTATCAAAAAGCATTTTGTTTATTTTGCATTAAGCATTATCATTTAAATGGTAAAAAATAAATAATTCAGAAATGCTCTAGGTTCTTCTCAAGTCCAAAAAAAATCTCCATTAGTGTCAACATAACCTCTTTTTTTATAGTGTCTTTATGTTGCAGCCACATGTAATATTACATTAAAATAATTATCTATTAAGCAGACACCTGCAGGAACCTCACTAGTATCTGCTAAAAAATTGTGTTTCTCCAACTTTGGTAGTTTCTGAACATTCAGGTCCACTTTTTTACAATCACTGACCTTCAAGAATACAACTATAATGTACAATACATTATTGGACAATATATTTTGTGTTCCACTGAGAAAATAAGAAAGCCTTGGTTTCCTTTACTGTGCTTTTTCACTCTGGAGTTCAAAATCCGCCTTCACAAATGCATTTTTTGTTGTTGTCAATCATAATTACGATGACAAGCAACAAACCTCGAAACAGAGAAACAGACAAAAACAGGTTCGAAATCCACAATTCACAAACCATGACCTTTTGAGCCTGTTGAAGTAAACTCTTGTTTCCTAAGAGGTCCACTCAGATGACTGGCGGCGAAAAAATGTAAATGTCAGTTGGCTTTTGAACTTCAGAATTCATGTGTTTTGAAAAGTGCAGTAATATCAAAAATGGTTTACCCTTGACTTGGGTGCTTCAATTCCGTGGACAATAGATAGTAAATTCACCAAAAGGCAATTCTCTTTTCTAGTTGTGTTACTTTGGTGTGGCTCAATCTATGTAGTTCACTAGTCTATCTATTTTTTCCAACTGAATGTAACAGTAGTATTATTTTTCACATTCAAGTGTTACTTTTTAGCTTTAAATAACTGATGCTGGCTTTGACGTATACTTTACCTCATTAGGATTTATGTTGTTTGGAGCTGGTTTGACAGTTGGATTTTCCAATCTCTTCTGTGGAGTTTGTGTTGGAATTGTTGGAAGGTACAGTGAAACCCCATTAATGCGACCACTGTTAGGCCATAAAATCATGGTCATAATAACGAGATGGTCATACTAAAAGGGATCTTCAGGACTGTCACTAAGATTTCAAGTTGCCGGTAAATACAAAGTAGGTGGGGGAAGCAAACAGTTATGGATTTCTTGTGGTTTCATTTTTATTTCTTTTCCTATGAAAGAATCAGGGGGACATGTCCCCCCAGCTCTTAATGACAACCCTGATCTTCAAAAAAAATGACCAGTATTTCTCTTGTGGTTCAAAAATTGTGATTGTGATAACGAGGTGGTCGATTAACAGGACGGTCGTAAAGGCGGGGTTCCACTGTCTTACAGTGTCTTGATTATGCTGTGCTCAGAATGTAAACAAGCTGCATTGCTTTTATAGTTTTCAGTGTACTTACAGAAGCCTTTAGGGCATAACAAAAAAGTGCTGTTTGTAGCATAATGATGGACATATTTTGCCAGTATATTTTTCTGAGAAATTGCCCAAGAGGGACGCTTTACCTGCTGTTTTAGAGAAACTAACAGAGAGAAGCTGGGAAAGCCAAACATAGCGATTCTCAGTGCACTATATTAAAAGCATCACCTTATCAGGGGACTTTAAAAGATTATAGTATTTTTACAGAAAAAATTACAGTAGTAGTTTGTAGGGTCAACTCAGTAGTTAAATCTTATAACACATCAGTCTTGACTTGTCTTGAATCGTGATTACATTTTCATTTGACCTACTTACAGCTGTGTGTAATTTTCTTTTCTTGTGATGTCAGATGAATGTTAATATCAGTTAGATAACTCCATTAAAAAGCTTGTTCTTATTCTCTTTGATTTCAGTGGTGCTGCACTTGCAGATGCTCAGAATTCATCCTTATTTGTTAAGGTAATCATTTTTTAGTGTCGTGCACAGTTACTCTGCCAATGCTCCAACCAGTCAGTTCTCAAAATTCATCATCCTCCCAGGCCATCATTAATTTTGTTTCGTTTTACTTTGTCATACAGTCAAACCTGTATATAACGGCCTTCTATATAGCGGTTGCCCTGTATATTCAGGCACCGGACAACTTCCCAAAATTTTCAGTTGCCTAATATTTCCTGCAAAGTTGACCTGTATATAAGGGTCACCTTGCCATTTTCCAAGGGTGTATACAGACTGTATTCAGGTGAACCTCCCTTAAAAATAATATAATAATAAAACTGTCAGGCCAAAATGTGGTCGCGGTCGCTTACCAGTGGTGGTCGTTTACTTTCGGATCTAATAGGCTTTGATGGAGAAAGTTTTGATGTTTTAGGGAGGTGGACGCACATAGAAGTATAATGTTTGCGTCTGTGTGATGTCTACCAAACCAGTGTAGTCATATCATTGCAAAAGTCTTTCAGTGAGCAAGCTCGCAAAATCTATGAAACATTTTCTCATAATGTCACGTCAGCCATATTGGTGTTCCTAAACAATGAAACAGCAGCCATGTTGGTGTTCCAAACGAGTCCTTCTCATGGGAGGTTAACCTTTTTCCTGTATAAAAGCTTTCTTTTGTTCCAATAAATTTGCATAGCTAGTGGCCGTTTGAATGAAAATGCTCTGTAATGTCAGAGGGTAACAGTGCATTGCTGTTAGCAGATGTTGACTGCTACTTTGTTGTCTCGTTACATAAACACCCATGAAATATCAGGTGACCTTTCATGCAAAGAGATGTACATGTACTGCATCTTCACATAGAAAAAATCACTATTTCTCTGCTAACATGATAAATTGTGCTTTTTACACTAAAAATATATTTAGATGAAATTGTTCGGTATTTTATTGGTGTTTTCTGTTAAACAATTTCACTACCTTGTTGAACTCATTCATAAAAATACCGTAAAATTCCCAAAATAAGCCCCTCCATGTATAAGCCCCTCCAAATATAAGCCCCCCAAAATCATGATGCGAAAAACCCTCCGTTAAATCGCCCCTCCGAATATAAGCCCCCGAGGGGGGGGGCTTGTACTTGGAATTTGCCATCGAATACAAAGAAAAACAAAGCAAAAATAGTAAATTTCCTCCCCTTTACAAGCTGGCCCAATCGATTCTGAAACGCAAATTTCCCTCTGTAGATAAGCCCCTCCGAATATAGGCCCCTCCAAAAATAAGCCCCTCAAAAAGGGCCTTTGAAAAATATAATCCCCGGGGGTTATTTTCGGAATTTTACGGTATTTTTCAACACTCAAAGAGAAATTTCATATCCCTTTGCGGCCATATAATATCCCCCATTTAATAAACAATTGATATTGGACATTGGCTAAAAGACTTGTTTTGTATCGGTTGAAGGTTTTGATCATTGAGATCTTTGGTAGTGCCATTGGGTTATTTGGCGTCATCATAGCCATCATACAGGTGTGTAGAATCCCTTTGTAAGCTGCAGCTTAACAAATGCAATGAGTCATATATTTGTCGAGATCATACAGATGTACTGTTGTCAAACAGGGTAAAGCTTGAAAAACAAAACAATCTGGTCCCCTTCCACCCACCCTCAACCAAAACATGTTTTGTTGTTTCCAAGAGGTACCTGGAGCAGTGGCTCAAATTTGGTTTTTGGTGGGGCGGGGTGGGGTGGTGATGGGAAGACTTGCTTCCTCCCTTTTGAACTAGACAGTGTTTAAAAAAACTTCAGAAAGGTTGATGAGGACAAAATGTTGCAACCAATTCGTTGGCCCATCGTCGCTTGCAAGTAAACTATCTGTTCAAGTACGAGGGGTTCATGCCTGATGCGCTACAAGTATAGAGACCAATGTTGAGACTGTTAATTTATTTTTTCCACAGACCAGTCATGCTTCAATGTCCATTAAAGGATCATCTTGAAGATTCCTCTGTTATGGATGAAGGAAATGCAAAAGAAACATTAATAAGCAAAAAATCAATTTATGACGTATCCTTGGATGATGAAGTCTGATTCATTGTGAAAGTTAAACAAAACTCGCATTGGATTATTTTTTATGTATTGTTCTGTTCCAGAAAACTGATAATCAATGGTAGTAGTCCAGTTTCGAGTTCGCTATAACCGCTGAATTAAAGAAGTGAAGACGCATTTTTTACAGGCTTAGCCTCCATCTGAAGTAATATATTCACAAATTCCAACGAGAAGAAGACCTGTTTATTACTCTGTCTATTGTGTATATCCAAATTTTAAACGCTTACTTGCCAGAATTTTTGAATATTTTACTTTATATTGAGGCTAACCCTGTATGAATGTGTCGTTAATGTTTGTATTCAGCCGTAATATTTAATTCGAAACTGGACTATTTGCCTCTTTAGACGTGAAAAGTAAACTGGGACGATTTGTGGGACTGTTACTTTGGATAGGGAAAAAATTGGCCAATAGCCGACTGCCACGTCCCCAGTAACAATCCCAGAAACAACCGCGGGACGAATTTCGGCTCCAGCTCCCCTCTTGTTTCCTAAGTGGCAATTACTGTAAGGGCTGGTTATTGATTTGAAACAAGAGAGAATGATCTCTCTTGTTTGAAACAAAACCTGACTTTAGCTTCGGGGTTAAATACTCGGGGGATGTACGGTGTATGAGGCGTTGATTTGGTAATTGTAAATGCCCAAGCGCTTTCATGTATTTCACGCCGCTGTTTTTCCAGTAATTACGTCTTCCCTACGTTTTACTAACAGCAAAAGCAAATGAGCGAGAAACGCCCGTAATCACTGTTTGGGCGCCGCTTGCTTTAAGTTGAAATTTGGCGGGGTACGGTGACGTACTCTTCCCAGGACCCCGCATCCACGACCACCGTAGTAGAGGTCGCCGCAGCGATTACTTTTAGTGACTTATGTTTATATGAAAAAAAAAAACATTGACTGGCTAATCTCCACTTTCATAATAACCAGCCCTTGGTGTGTCACTATTCTGCCCTAAGATACATATAAATGTCAAAAATGTGGAAATGAAAATGTAGGCATTATTTCGTGTTCCTTGTCGGTAAAGGAAATTTATTTTTAATTGTTATAACACTAATACAAAGATAGTATTTTTATTTTTCACCAAAAAGCGTTCATTCACGTCAGTCTTAAACTTGAGACTTATGTTTGATAGGGGTAGACTTACGATACTTTTGCGGGGTTGTAGCTAGCAAGAGGTGTTACGACGCGCTTGCCGCGACTAGGCTCCATAATTTTCTAGGGCGCATGCCCTCAGATCCCCGTAGCAGCTCCCGCCTTTAGCCTGTATACAGCAGCCCCCTCCCCTCAAACAAAATCAGGGAGAGAGACTCTTCCTTATTTTGTTTGAGGAAAGAGACGGCTGTACACAGGCTTCGCGCTTTGGGCGACTGTAGATCTTGCCTCGTCTGCGTCAATAGTCTGGCTGCGATCCTGTGTGTAGTTTTAAAACTTGAGACTCGAGTAAGAATTAAGGAGATACCTTTCTTTCGAGTTTCTTGTTGAAGGATAATTGAGAGTGGTCTCTGATTATAAGCTTTAGTTGATGTTAAAAATGTCTCTTGTTCTAGCTAAACTTCTGTGTAGTTTCATGTTCGCAGGATTATGATTATCAGACACACGTTTCTCGTGCAAATGTAGCTTCATTATCAGAATTCATGAAAATACAAAAACAAAAGGAAAAAACAAACCATGATATGGAATCCGTATAGTGACGCAGTGTGCCCAATGTAAATTTGAGCGGTTCTGTAACCAGTAAAAATATTAAAATGGCGTGAACATTATTGTTGGAAGCAATATTGATTCAATGATGTTGCCATGGTAGTGCGATGATCCAAATAAAAACAAACTGTAGATATAGCCCTACTGGTGCAATGATTGTATATGTAATATTAGTGCTTTTTCAATGTTTTTTTTCTTTTTGTTGCCTTTCTAATTAAAATTTTAAATGGTTGAGTGCAAGAGTAAAAGAAATGTAGCTCAATATTAATGACCGAAAGATAAATTCTGGCGAACAATTCTTACATCGAAATAGCGAACAACTCTCGTCACTGAGTCTAGACAACTCTGAAACAAAAAAAATCATCTTGAGAAGTGTCTGATGATGAATATGATGGGATTAGCAAACAAGCGACTTGGGTAATATCCCTTTAATATATTTATTATTTATGATCAATATTTTTATAAATGGCCTATTATATATATTTGCATGAAACTGATAGCAAATGGCCCTACCATTTCATTATCAAAGTCTGCATCGTCATACTTACTCGATGGAGTGAGGAGATCAGTTGAAAATCATTATTTCGTTTATGATTAATAATATCGCCCTTGGATTAGAGTAAAGCTCGTAAAATTTTACGGCTCTCCTGTTTGAGGTTCAGTATTTTTTCATGTGTCTTTCCTAGTTATTGATCACGAAAGTGAGTGGATATTATTCACTAACAAGATTAGGTAACCTCACGAATTCAGTAACCAGAGTTAAGTTTCGTCTGTGTCGCAGGCCTCTCTTAAAACTACTGCTAATGGAGTTCACTGAGTCTCTCCATTTTATAGTTATACCACGTGATTTTGGCTTCGACCACCTGAACAGGACCACTGGACAGAGCACTAAAATAGCTTTCATCTGAATGTTCACCACCTTCTACAACCTAATAAACAACACCACAGGAAAGTACAGCTCAAAAGCTTTAATTTAAATGGATTTCATCCGACATAAACTCAAAGGTTTGAACCTTTCACGGTACAATACACAGCAACACAGGAAAGTACTGCTCAGAAGCTTTCATTTGAATGGTCATACTTTAGGATTTCATTTACAGATTCAAAAGTTAGAACTTTCTTGTACAGCATGATAAACAGCATCCTAGGAAAAAACTACTCAGTAGTAGCTTTCAACTAAATGGTGTGAAAGGGCCAACTAGCACAATTTATCTAAATCAACTCTTTATCTTTATCGTAGACAAAAAACACCGTCGTAGTCCTTTCAGTAGATTCATATCTGTGATAGCATTCAAGTAAAAATCGCTGAACAGATTGAACGAGAGATTGTGGAGATTTAGCATCTCGTGTGTAAGCGAAACTCGTCATCGAACAATTTATTTTTTAAACTTTGACTTCACATTTTTTTTATTAAATTTGACCTCCGATGCTAACAGAACAGTCTACAAACTATTTGATCTAAGTTCTGACTTCAAGTTAATTTATACAGAAATTTTGAATAACTTTAACTATAATTATGTTGTTTTCGTGTTCTCGCCCTGCATCCGTCCACCTGCTATTTGTGTTTTCGTCGGTGCTTTTTCGTGAAGTTTCAGCTCAAATGAATAAGAAGGATGTTATTTTACTTAATTTTAATCGAAAACCATATCTCGCTTGCAGAAAGCCGATTGGCTTTCGAAGTTGTGTATTTGGATGCATTTTCAGTGTTGTCTAACTCTTATTTTACAGAACACTCGTAAACTTCTGAGATTGTTTTACCCGTCATCTGTGAGATTTCGCACTTCGGTTCTATATTTACAGTGAAACGAAACAGCGAAGCAATATCATAATCGCAACTGAAACCTGCTTCATTATAAACTACATTAGCCGGTATTAACATCACGCTGCGCATAGCGTCAACAAAGAGTAATAAATAAATCACTGATTGCACTCGCTAGGTAGCTTTGACCTTGCTGCAAGGTCCTGTTCTTTTTAAAATGCTACGTTTCCGTTAATTCACAGAAAAGACGGAACGGTATAACAAAATTTAAGCTCTATTTTAAGTCATTAGTTAAAAAGATGCCTATAGCAAATTATAGCATTGAAGGGCCACACACGAGACCCCCTGTCACGCAGCAACTAATGTTCAATCTTCTTCGAGAAAAATGGTGTTTCGTTTTAAGTTTACTCTATACTCATTTCGGTATTGAAGCAGCTGACACGAATAGAGCCAAAAGTTCCTGTATTAAACTAGAAAAATGAGCGCTTGATTGGTTGCATTCGCTCATCACTCCATCGGTACCCAATTCAGCCACTTTAGTAGCTCCCAGAACGAAATTTTCCCATTTTTGTGCTGGTCGAGGTATTCAAAGAACTTCTGTGCATCAACGTCGTGGTACCCAAGAGAAACGAGTAAATGTTTCAGTTCTTCCTGGTTCAAACCATTGCTGTTATCTTTGTCGTACGTTTTGAATAATTCCACTGCTTTGCAAAGAGTCTTGAATTGTATTTGATCGTTGATCATCGTAAAACGTTCCCCACTTCGCAGCCAGGCGAGAAATTCCTCGAATGATATGTTCTGGTCGCCGTCTTTGTCCAGCAGCATGGAGTAAACATTGGCTTGTTCTTTCTTGAAGCCTAAATCTTTCTGCAGAAGTTCATTCAATTCTTGCGCGTCTAGCGTACCGGTTCCGCTTTTATCGTACTTGTCGAAAAGGCTTCGAATAACCACTTGGGGGGTGTTGTTGTCGAAGAAACTTGTTCCAGCTTGCATCGTGAGAGTGACTTGCAATGAGGTAAACGTAAACGTAAACGAATTGATGGGTTGTTTGTTCGCTTGTCTTTTATAACGCTTAAATCGAAAGCAGATGGTTTATATTAATGGCTTTCTAGTAAAGTAGCAATAATAGGCTTCCTATTGACGTCAAGACACGCTCGATCGCCGTCCCTTTGAGTCTGGATCGCAACAATCCAGGCGTCTATATATCCATAACTTTGGTATCCAAATTCGCTTTTCATATTTCTTTACTACGTGGGTGATAAAAAGAAGGAAGTTTCTGCCATTGAGTGTTTGTTTATTTTACACCTGTTGTACAAATAGCGGGAGAGAAAACGTCGTCATGAATTTGCGAAAACGAAGTTTGATGCGCAAATTACCTTGTATTGTTTACGTCAAAATATGCCATTTTTCTCCGTGTCAATGGTATTTTCCGTTTAAGTGAATCTTGAGAAAAGAAAGGCGGTGTTTTTAGTCAACAAGCACTTGGGACTGACAAAAGAACAAACGCAAAACAAACCGGTAAATTTCCGAAATTTTTAAGATCGTTCTAGCCTGTCTCAGCCTTCAGATTAGAGGGACGTGCCAAAATTTACGGGGAAGGACAAGGATGAGCCATGACTAAGCAAATAATTTGACTAATTCGTTTTCTCTTGGCCACTTTGTCCTGTATGCAGCATGCATTGTCTCCGAAGAGCTAAAAGAGTGATTACAGTTGGTCAACTCCCAACAACTCGAACCTCGCGCTAACTCGAACCAAAGTCGATTTCCCCTGGTTTTCCTTCTTACAGTTACTGTAATTTTACCCTCGATAACTCGAACCTTCCGCTAACTCGAAGTAATTTTTGTTTCCCTTTAGCTCATTTCTATACAATTTTACCCCCAACAACTCGAACCATGTTTTAAGCGCATGACAACTCGGGGAAAAAACCGTGTACTGAAGTCCGAAACATTGAATTTATTTCAAAACAACCGAGTAAATTCTTTGTCTTTACTTGTTTGTCACTCCAGTTCAAATTCAGTGTCCATTCCCGTGTACTTTGTTGCTCAATTGCCTTTCCCCCCATCCATTTGCTTATTTCCTTACTTCCGGTTATTTTCTTCAAACTCGCGATAACTCGAACTCCCGATAACTCGAACTTTTCTCGATTTCCCTTGAAGGTTCGAGTTATCGGGAGTCGACTGTATTTTATGGTGGCCCACAACTGTCACTGTCTTTTGTTTTTGCCGTGAGGTTTTCGGTTTTGCCGTGAGGTATTTTGTTTTTACCGTGAGGTTTTTGGTTTTGCCGTGAGGTTTTTGGTTTTGCCGTGAGGTTTTTGGTTTTGCCGTGAGGTTTTTGTTTTTTCCGTGAGGTTTTTGGTTTTGCCGTGACAGTTGTGGGCCACCGTAATATTTAAATGCACTGTTTTTATAATAAGGGTCGTTTCGAAGTTTTGATGAGGCCGCACATGTTTTTTAACCCGTTAAGTCCCAATATCCACGTACAAATTCTCCAAACCGATCTCTATATATTTCCTTAAAGAATGAGTTGAGAGAATTTAATAAAATATCATGGCATTTTCACTTTGGTGATCATTTAATTAACTCTCATTACCTCGTCTCTTGACAATCTATGTATTCTATGGATATTGTTAGGAGAAAATTGGTTTTTGTCACTATTGGCAAGTAAAAGGTTTACTTTAAAGGAACTGTGTCACGAAATTCAGCCAAATTAGGAAATTACAAAATGCCCGTTAAATTAAGAGAAACCAGCTTCTGGAGAAACATAAAAGTAAACGCTTAAAACTTAAATATACCACGGATGGGCAAAACTGAAGAAGATTGAAACGGATTGAAATTAGGGTTTTTGAAAACTGTTCAGCCTAACAGTTCTCGCCTTGCAACTACAAAAATAATGCTCAGGAGACATATTTGTTTGTCTCGGATCTCTGATTTTGTAATTTACATGTAATTTCTTTGGTGACTTTAAGTTCCATAGCGATTGAGGGCGAGTAATGGGCAAAATTAAACAAAATGAACTGGACTGCCGTGACACAGCCCCTTTAAAGGGGCTGCCTTGTCACGGCGTCTTGTTCATAATGTTAACCCTTTAAGCCCTAAGTGTGATCAGCTTCAATTTTCTCCTTGTAACATCTTTGCTCCATAAAACATGATGGACAGAAGAATTAAGGGATTCATGATCACACAAGATGAATTTAATTGATACTCTAACAACGTCTCCCCACTACTTGTATAGGAATGTATAGAGAGGAGAAATGAGAGTGTAAATTTTGATATCAGGGTTTTATAGGGTTAATAATGCCAATTTACTTCCCAAGCATTATATCGAACCAGGAGGAACCTTACAAACAACAAAATGAACTTTAGACCACTGTTAGGTTTAACGAGTCTTTACAGAAAAAACCCACAATTTCAATCCGTTATAATCCTCTTGAAATTTGCCCATCCATGCCTTCTTTTATATTTGCTCTGTTATTTATAACACTGTTTTATAGGCCTTTTTTAATTTATATTTGAAGCGATTATTTCATATGTTTCATTCAGTTTGGTGGGAGTTCCTGCTGTTAAATTTAATAAAATTCGTGATACAGCTCTTTTGAGCGTTTTCGAGCTGTATGGTCGGCGTGGCGGATATTTTAAGCCTTTTCAGAATTGGTAGATATACTTCAAGTCCTTTCTGACCTTGGTTTTCATTGGTCCCAGTGAGCAAATGTAACCCAATCAGCCTTCTCTTTTTTAGCTGTCAATTCATCTCGCAATGACTATGTTTATCGATCGTCACCTTTTTGTTTATGTAATCATGTAGGTGTTTTCTAGTTCTAGAGTTGTGTAATTTCTATCTTTCTTTCTGTTCACACAGTTAGTGATCCAAACCTGTCCTTATAATACAAACATCGCTTCGACAACATCATAAATCGTGAGATTTTTATGAAGTCACTACGTCTCTGGCCCGTTAGTACGCAGAGAAGCGGGTAATCCCGAACAGAATAGCTCCACGCACTCGTCGTTAAAACGCGGAGGGGCAAGAGAGGATCTATCGACCGTTTTTCCTAAACCCGTAGGCGAGTATGAAACACATACTCTGTTACTACTCTATCCGTAGTGTGAAAACCTTCAGTCGATGTTACTTAATCGACCGTTTGGCTCCGTCATAGAAATCGCGCCGCCACAACCGTTCTTCAGTGTGAATCATAGAAGCCCTATCCAGTGTAGTGTAAACATAGGGCGCTTTCCATTTAGGAAAAAAACCTGGAAATTTCGGTGGTAGCAAAAGTGGAATTTCCTATTGGTAAAAAGTTGTTTCATTTGGTCGTCAACCCCGTTACGTGGCGGTGCCCGACCTGGAACTGGTACAAACTACGAGAAACGTAAATGGAACACGACATTCCGTTCGGAAATTCCAACCGGGAAAACGGGACCACCTTTTTAGATTTTCCACTTTTTCTGGGAATTTTTCAGTGGGACGAACCGACGAAACGTGTTCCATTTACCGCCGAACCGGAAATTCCGGAAATTTTGACTAAATGGAAAGCGCCCATAGACTAAGATCCTGTTTACATGGAGTGGGGGACCCCGGTCTAGAGGGGTAAGTTTCTTTTGTTTTGTGTCCCCCAGAGCGTGAAAACAAAAAGAAACTTACCCCACTAGACCGGGGTCCCCCACTCCATGTAAACAGGCCCTTAGACGACGTAAGAGTGCCAAATTTGGAGATTTTACCCAGAAGTCCTTAGTCTTAGAACCCGGCTTCTTCCCACAATGCCTTGTGTATTACTCATTAAAGTTTCCGTCCGCTAGCTTGCACGTGTCAGATTGCATGATCTCTAGAAAGAACCGCAAACTACCGTTTTCTCATTGCGGTTTATTTATCCCACCTTTGATTGTTTTTCTCTCGCGTGGCTACAGCATTCCAGAGAAATTAATTCTGGTTTGTTTTCGTAGTTCGACATTATTATAAATGGTCATTGATAAAGAGTGGAGAGATGACACATGTTGACGTAAAATTAACTATACAGTCCTTCAAAGACTGAAGTGGACCGTAACATTAAATTAATTACGAAATAATTAGTCACATGAAAAATCGTAAACGTCAATTTATTTTGCGTGCGACGAAGCAAAGTTCACTGAAATATATATGTAATAAATATTATATAATACTTCAGAATTTTCCCTCTACATCACAGATAAATATAAATAAATATACACCTTTGCCTCACAATTTGAAAACAAGCGCTTGGTAAAATTTCGGGGTAGAGCGGTATAATATATATCTTTATCTCTTTTCTTTTTGTATATTGTTAAGATTTATGTCGTTATATGTAATCTCTCAGTCATTGCTCGTGAATAACTTCAAGGTTTTATATCGTATCAGATGTTGTTCAGTTTCTGAGAAAACGACCAAAAAAATAGTATGGTCTGCTTGCATCTGTCCTGTAAAGAGAGTTTCTCTTCTACATTCTCCTGTGTCGTACAGAGAGGAGTTTGTTCATGTAGTCTTCATTAAGCAATTGGAGACCAGTCCAGCCATATCATGAATTCCCAAAAAGAAATTTTGCCATCATTGAGCCTGTCCATAGCTGCGAAAACTTTATCCATGTCTTGTCCTGGATATCCCAGAAATTTCATAAGCGACTCGAACTGCATTCTATCCAAAGTTCCTGTGTTGTCGGTATCGAAATCTTTAAAATGCTCGAAAGCTGTGCAGAGTCGGTCGAATTTGGAACTGTCGTTTAATCGCTGGAATTTTTCCTCGCTTCTCAGCCATTCTTTGAATTCACTGTAAGAGATCCCCTGGTCTCCATCTTTGTCGACGAGAAAGAAGTAGATTTGAGCCTGCTCAAAGTCAAGGCCCAATGCTTCTTCAAGAAAAGATTTCATTTCGTTCTCGCCAAGTTTACCATTTCTTTTTGTGTCGTATTTGTCAAAAAGGCTGTGAATAGCGATTGATGGAACGCTTCTGTTGAAAAAACTCACACCGCTACCTGCCATGTCAAGTTAAATCTCTTAAAATCTCCTCAGTGTGTGATCTTTGACTTTGTTTTGGGAAATCAACAAAGAAGGGGGACTCGCGTTCCTTTTATACCCTAAATCGTCATCATTTCTTGTGTCACGTTTGCATTTCCTGGGAAAAGGTTAATTAAGCCCGCAATGGAAATTAACATGAAAACTCCGACAAACGTGACCTTGAACTTTAGCCAAATGTTAATGAAATGCGGCCAAATGAAGTAACTTAAAAGTGGGATGACCCTTTCAAGATATTTTAAAGAACAACAGGTGCGCTTTAAAAAAAAATGTAAACGCAATTGGAAAAAAGAATATTTATTGTTTTCCCTAGAAATTATGATTAAAACAGCTTAAAAATTATAATGAGTATATTCCGTCAAGTGTTATTGACTCCTGGAGACACTAGTATTTATTCGGAATAATACTTCCGGTTTCTAACGACAACGACGCATTTTGTGTGGCAAACACAACGTCATGTCCTGATGTATTGAAACGTGCCTTGGTGGCGCTTCAAGACCACGTCTCTTTGCCCTTTAAAATTTACCAACAACATTGGGATATTTGAGCTCAACAAGTGATCTTTGTTTGTTTTATATTGTACTTACGCCATGTAGGAGCGAGGAGAAACGGCTGTATTCGCAGGCGAGGCCGACTTCAATTTTAATATTCGAAACAAATAGCCCTGAAAGTTTGCTCCTCGAACAGAAGTCTGTAGGTTTTATAATTTACCAATATTTGAAATACTTGTTCATTCGAAAGGGTCTTCAAAGGAGGGAATCTTCACCGCCTGTTGCGATATTAATATAAACATGGTGATTAAAATATGCAGAAGGATGGATGCTTGCCAAACATGTTCTGCCGTCATAGGGGGCCATCAATTTCATGAAGAGGAATGAAATGACCTTTGACTAAAATCATCGACGCACAACGGCAAGAGTAAGCATAAAAAAATGACAGCTGAAATGCGGAAGATATAGTTTGCCCAAAAGTGCTGAGCGTTTGAGATTATGTCAATATTGTTCTCCAGGCGAGAAACAATGAACTACAGTGTTTGTTTGAGTGTTTCTCACAAACGAAACGATACTCTTTTCCTCTATTGATAATTTCGATCCTTTGTTTTGCAAGGAAGTTTGTACCCTGCGGGCAGAGGCCCTTTGATCTTCCTAGATACGTCGGAAACCCTTCCTCTTCCCGATGGCTTTTCTAGGAAGATCGAAGGGCCTCTGCTCGCAGGGTAGGAAGTTTGCCACATCCTCTATCTGGCATTTAACTTAGCCGCTATATATTTAGAATTTTCTTTGTATTTTACAGTTACAGTATTATTGTTATTATTTTCTCCGTTATATAATCCTATGGTGGCTAAATATCTGGCGTTTTTATGGGGGGGAAGGAGAAAAGAGAAGCAAAAAGGGTCTGACACCTGTCACTTAGGCTGTTCATAGGGCCAATAGACATTACATTGGATTGAATTGGATTGAATTGAGGGATGAATTCATTAATGTTAAGAGAAGAAAACGTTTTGTAGTTTCACTTGTATATAAAGAAGTCTGTTTATAACAGGAGTTTAAAAACCTGAGCAGGCTAGGCCATGAATAAAATATTTAAGAACTTCAAACAGCTTAGAAACAAACCACAAGAAGAATCCAACCATACTCGTCGCGCGCAGGGGTAATGTAATGGACCGCATCCTGTAAGAATTACATCTGTACCCGAAATTTAAATTTAACAAACGCTCAATTTTGCGTGGTAAATATAATCCATGCGAAAGTACTAGCCGGAGTACCCTGGGTGCCAGAGACTTTTCATGCGCGGTTTCCGGTTTCGGCCGAAGACATGTCGGCGTGCGGCCGACACCCGACGAAAGCTCCTCGTCGCACGCGAGTAAAAACCTCGTTACCCAGGGTATAACCGGAGCGGTTTCTTTTCAACAGTCTCCACCAATGTATTGGCCCCCAACCACATTGTGATTCATACATGACGTTGTGTTTCTTCCTATGTTTGCGCTCGCTTACGTATTTGTTTACAAATGGTCGCGACGTCCCGAAAACAAGGACAAGCGTAAATAATACGCCATGCCCCATATGCTAAGAGGATGAATAGACGCTCCACACCCAAAAAGAATTTCCGGAAACAAAGTTCATCTTTGGGGCCTTCAGAGGTGTCATGTACCTGTACAACGCAACTGTTGTGTACCACGAACGCGCACGTGTTTTGCCTCGTTGAACGGAGGCAGACGGGAGAAAGGAATGAAGATACCCGGGCGGGGGTTACTTTGGTTAATTTTTGCTAGGTATGTGCCGCTGGCCTCTCAGAGCCCCTGCCCCGTTATAGTCTATTCTGTGGCCAATTATAGACCCCATCTTAATTACTTTTGGGCAAACATGTAATTTTCGCCATCCTAACTTAGGCACTTTCTGTTCATGTATCTACCTTATACTGAATGAAGAACACTTTACTTTTCACATACAGTACAAACATTCTGGTACGTTTGCTAACCATAAATATGAAGAATTGTCTTACCCCAAAATCAGAAAATGTGCGACCCCGTTCCAGTAACTCTACTGAAAATGCGACCCCATTATAGTCAAACCAGTCGTGAAAATGTGACCCCATCCAGCGGCACATCCCCATTATCCTCGTAGGAGGAAGTACCCCCCTATCATCTTCTTGACTTGTTACATCAGTGTACCAAGTTTCATCTACAATCTATGTTAGGTTCTTTTACTAAGAAATCACCTTAAATTCGTCTAGGTCTTATCTCATCCAGCGCGATTGCAAACCACGTGGTTAGCGGCTTCGATGCTCGCCGCTCGCTTGCTTACGTTTCGCGTACAGTAACTTTGCCAGAGAAAAATAAGGGTCTGCTCGCTGGCTATCTTATAAAACGACACCTCAATAAGAGGACAACTCGGTAAAACGGAAACTTTAAGTTGGCAGTTATGGCTTTCCGAAGGCCGAAGACTGACATCACTCGTACACTTTGTTCCAGTCCCAACGGTGTCCGTTTAGAGAGGGAATTCTTAGAGGGAGGGAGAGAGGGCACGTATGTCCCCAGGATGAGCTTCACGCAACTGATCACAGCAATAACCGAGAACAAGCCGGAACAAACAGGCAAAGAACTTTGTTTTTGCAGACGTGGCATGACACTGAGCCTACCCCAACCCCCAAAAAAAAAAAAAAGCAGTGCATAAATTAAGGGCGTAGGCTTGTTTAGAACCTCAATCAAATTACCTTGCGAGCAGAGGGTTCTTTCTGGCATGGCATTTTATTGCTAGGAGCCCATCATTAATTGATGGGCTCCTGTTATAGCTGAAAGAAGTCGTGTGGCTTGTCAGAAAGTACGTGACTAACTTAATCGTGACACGGACGACTTCGTATTAACACGTTGAAGTGCTAAAGACATGGCAGAAAGAATAACCTTTACTCACTCAAAGGGTGCAATGAAATTATTTTATTGTTCGGAGGACTCGGAATTTTTTTTTGCTGAGTCGCTCGCTCTTTTTCGAGGAGATGGCTGAAATTCGGGCTAAAATATAACCTGATAATAATCTTGCATTCTTAGCTTTAATTTTCTGGGTAAAAAACACGGATAGATATAGTAACGTTGAAGCACGCACTGTGAACCAACTCAGTTAGGAGAATTCCAAATGCAGGGAGGCACGTCTTAGCAATGCTGTGTGATTGAACTCAAGTGATTTTTAATTTAAAATTACAACTTACGAAATAAAATATGCGAATATCGTTTTTGCCAAGATCACCCCGCACGTGATTCTATTTTAAGATTAAATCATCAAGGAGCCCGGCTAAGGGTATATAATAGACCAAGAACTCGCATTTGCCACAGTTATACCCAAAGCCGATATACGATAGCATTCCGATATACTTTGAAGAGACCGATATCCAAAAGCATGCAAACAGGAGTCAGCTTTTTCGACAAGAAAGCTCCGAAAGTCGCCATTCGTAGTCTCTTTGACAAATACGATGCGAACAGCAATGGGAAGCTTGAAGAACAGGAAATGCAGTTCCTTCTGGTAGGAGACCTAGGCTTCAGTCAGGAACAATCCTGGGCCTATTTTCTACTGTTGGACAAAAATGGGGATCATAATATCTCCTTTGAAGAATTCCAAGACTGGCTTCGCAGCGGGGAACGCTTCGAAATTTTGAACGACAAAGGCAAGTATCACTCCCTCTCGGAAGCACTTAATTACTTCAAAAGTTTTGACACAGACAACAGCGACACCCTTGACCGAGTCCAGTTCGAAAAGATGATGAAGTTCTTTGGCTATGAAAGTATAAACATGGAGAAGGCGTTTGCGGAGATCGATAAAGACGGAAATGGAGCAGTTTCTTTTTGGGAGTTCATGGTTTGGTTAAAATGGGTACCAGTTCTCAACTAGCTGTTACTGGCATAACTGAACCTTTTGCCTACTTTTATGCAGCAAATTTGATATGTCCTCCTTGAAATTTTAGTATGTGAAGTACCCGATTGATGTACGTTATTAAAGTAAAATGCATCTCAACGCTCTAGGGCTCTAGGGTTCACCAGACCTTGACTATACAGGACGTGAGGCAGAAGAACAATCAAATTTAACTTTGAGTTTTGTACCTAAGGAACGAAAAGGATGTTTTATTTATGCCAGGTATCCAAGTATTGCAATTTGTTGCGTGCTTATATTTATATTTATTAAATAAAAATATAGAAACATGTAATTTACAGTTATAATCAAAGCTATAAAAAAGAATTCTCAAATCTGATTGGCTATCAACTGCCCTGATATCATTTCAGCCTTAATAGGACAGTACGCGTCACGACTAACTCATTGAACAGTACGCGCCATCACGCGAGCGCTTAAATGTAAATGAAAACTATTGGAAATTCTTGTGTTTTGATTAAAAAAGAGCTTTATATGTCACAAATTTTGTTAAAGGTACGATTAATTGCATGGTAACAGAACTTCCTGTCGTCCAGTTTGGTCTGCTATTACCTATACTAATCATACTCGTGATTACTGAAACAAATCGGACTCCCTCTACTTGATCGTCCCACTTTGTTTTAAAAAAAAAAATCACTCGTATGATTACAGACCGAAGGAAACTCCACTCAGACCTGTTACTATTACAAACACTCGTCCCAATACGGATGTTTCACTTTATTTAAATGTATTTAGACTTAGCTTTCGCCTTTTTTCCCGGTATTGTTTCTTAGAAGAATATGAATTTGCTACTAAGATTTCCGGACCCGATTCCTGAAAAGCCGATTAGCGCTAATCCAGGATTAAAATTTTTGTTCAGTTGTTGTATTTTATCTTCCTTTGTATTTAGTAACAATTTCTGTTTCCATCCTGTATCTTGGAGTGAGGGCTCAACAGTATTTTGTAATCTCGAATTGCATGTTCTTAGGCAAGAAAACCTTGATTAAAATTTAGCTTAATCCTGGGTTAAACTTAACCATCTTTCGAGAAACCGGGAAGTTGATTGTGTGTTTACCGGCATCATGAGCTGAAAACCGACGTGACGTCACTCATCATGACTCATGCATACAGAACGTGCTTCTCATCCGCGTAAATTACAAGAATGAGTTTTTCCGTATAAATTCTTCTTGTAAAATAGCCCCCCTTTTCAGTCGTAAGTAATAAAAAAAACTATGAAAAATGTAAAAAAAGACAAAAGGCTCAATATTGACACGACTCGCGTCAATGAAAATGCGAAATTAAATTAATATAAAATATTAAAAACGTTTACTACAAAGAATAAAGTGTAGTAGCAATAGTAGCAATAGTAGCAAAAATAATTAGTCATAAAAAATTTCCGGACATAAAATTTTCTGTTTTCAATCAAACGGACTGAAGCGGAGTGACGGCCGGGAAAGACGAACCAAAGTTGTTTTAACCACAGTCAACCCACCCTTTTTAACAATTTGAAATTCGAAAACAAAGTCGATGTTGTTTTTGTTTGTTTGTTTATTTGTTTATCATCGGTCAATTAATTTTGATAAATATTTCGTGGTTTTGTGCTTTTCCTACACAATACTCCCAGCCGGGAGATCTTGAGACATGCATAGCCACGGAAGGTAAACCTAGTTAATTTTACCTTTTCAGTATTCACTGCTAGTATACAAACCTTCTTTTTAAGGCGATGTTACACGAGACAATTCGCAACGACGATTTTTAGCGCAACACAGCGTTGCAACATTGTTGCAACATTGTTTCCAATGGTTCCAACATCCTTCCAACATTGCAGTGCTGTGTTGTGCTAAAAATGGTCGTTGCGAATCGTCCCGCGTGAAAGCACCTTTAATGTATGCGGACAGTGGCAGTAAGGTAAAGGCGAAGGGAACGCAGGCTGCAGTGGTAAGGGTAGGGTAGGGTAGGGGGATAACGTAAGGTCAGTTTGTTGGGTATATTTGGCAGACTGCCTGCCCGGCTGTCAGGAGCGATGCCTGATTGACTGACAGCTTAACGGTAAATTAGCCAATCACAAATCGTTTGAGCGAAACATACTATCTAACACTCAAGGTCAGCGGTGACCCCGGCGAGCACTTGCAAGTAAAGGGTGCATGAAACATGGCTGAAATTTGTGAAACATGCTAGGTGTATGCTTTATTGCCCATCGCCCGTAAAAGTTGTAGATATCTGAAATGGCTGCAAAGTGTGAAGGTGATCCGCACTATTTTTCCAAACCCTGGAAATTAAGCGATGTCATTCTACTTGTGGAAGAAGAGAAATTCCATGTTCACCGCGCCGTGCTTGCGTTGTCTTCGCCCGTCTTTGAGAAGATGTTTTCATCAGAATTTCAAGAAAAAGACAAGAACGAAGTGACTCTTCCAGATAAAAAGGCAAGCGAGGTTGAAGAATTGCTTCTGATGTTATATCCCTCTGTGGCAGAGAAACAAATAACAGAGGAGAACTGTTTCTTTCTGGTGAACCTTGCCAACGAATATCAAATAGAGGCCATTGTTCGGAGATGCGAAGATTTTATGGTTGAGCTTGTTAAAACTAGACCGAAGGATTGTGTTTTTGCAATAATCTTTGCACAGAAGTACGAATTAGCGAAGTTGAAAAAGGCGGGAATAGAGCAAGCGTATTATTTAACCCTGGAAGAGTTAAAAAATGATAAAATGTACAACCAAATTGAGAAAAAGGATTTGATGGATATCATGGAGGGGATTATGTTGCGGCAAGACAAAGAATTAGAAAAATTTCAGCAACAGTGTCAACAAATGAAAAGGAAAATTTCGTCAATTTCATTCCAATATTCTGGTACTTTATTAAGAGAGCTCCATATCATCGCCGATCTACTGGTTGAACATGTATGTTCAAAGCGCGATATTCCGCGAAGTCGCATGCCAAGTTTTCGTGATGTTGACGGCTATCTTTCTGCGTTGGAAATGGCTGAAGGAAAGGATTATTGTAAATGCGGAACTGAAAAATGCGCCAGTTTCGGTGTTCGCTTTCTACACAATTTGAAGTCTATGAAAAATGCACTGATATCTATTCGCGAGATCGTTCAGAACGACAAATGAAGAAAAAAAGGCCGCACCAGTCTGACCAGTATTTTAAAACATTGGCATTTTTAACGATGTCACGCCGGAAGTAATCTTTCGTACTACCGTAAACTCATGGGCAAAGAGTTCGCCATTATTATGGACAGAGAGAAGGACTTAGCAGTATCCTTCGGCGACTTCATGGTATCCAATGGCTAATGCGGGTATCAGCGGCCATCCCGAGGGGGCGACCCCCGGGCACCCAGGGGCATTTGTCACAGCTGCAGTGACAAATACGTGCTAAAGCCCCTGGGGTAGGGCAAAAAATTGGGACAAATACCCCCACCCCTGGAGCAACCTGGGCAACATATAATAAGTAATTTTTTTAAAAAAATTCCCGTTTACTTGCAAAAACGCATAACTCCAGCACAAGAAAAATGGGAAAACAGTCACTTTAAGGAGAACATTCACGTCGAGACAGGCATGACAAATTATCTATTTCAGAGGAATCAGCAAAACAAGACTAAAGGGCTAATACAATTACACTATGTTTCATTTGAAGCTTTAATATCTCTGATCAAATATGAAAAAAGATCAAACTACACAGGCTGGCAAAAGACTGATAATCATACTGAAAGATTTATAATGATAATAATGATAAAAATATTGGCATTGGCAATGTCTATTAAATGTCTGAAATTATAAAGAGAGACAAGATTATCATTGCTGCTTCACCATTAAATAAAAACATGAGTGTTGTAACCGTAATTCTATAGACTCATTCGTACACACAATTTAAATGTAAAATATCTGAAATATGAACAACAAGTACAGTGTATCTGGAAAATCTGTCACGAAAACCGCTGAACGTTGAGACAGCAGATTACGTACAAATCCCGTGGGTATGGCCCCGGGGTGTTTTGCCAAAAACACAAAAGCGCTCTAATGCCCCGCATGCGGGGCATGCTTTTGCTACAAATCCCCTGCTAAGCCCGTGGGTTGCCCGTGGGTTGCCCGGGGGTCGACCCCTCGGGATGGCCGCTGATACCCGCATAATGTGTATGAGGGGACCCCTCGAAAAAGAGGATGCCAGTTTTCAACTTGTTGTCGTCGACTGAATGGTATATCTTGGAAACTTCTCGTTTACGTCGCAAATTTTTTGTGTCTTTCTTATTTATTATGAGTAAGAATTGATTTACATTGTAAACTATTTCAGAATTAGATGACATACCAGACTACGGCAAGAACTTGGCGTTTGATTTTTTTTACGGGTTCTAATGAATTCGTCCTTTATAAGACATGCAGGAACAAGAGTATAGTAACCCTGATGGTCGTTTTACTCAGCCTTGGACTGTCCTTAGCCAATTTATGTTTTTTTAGAAAGTAATTTTTTCTTAGATTTAAGGCTTATTTCATCTTTTAGTTTACATGTATTGTTTCTCGGAAGAATATAGTACAGCTACTTATCCTTAATGGCAAAGGCAAGAATAACCAGTCATAGTTGATAGTGGGCATTTCAAGTTGGTCATTAAATTAAAGGAGTGGTTGCATGACATGCATGCTCCATTGTAGACAAACTATCATGAACTTCAGAAAAACCTGTTATAATGGCCACTACCAAAAAGCCGGCAGGGGTTTTATAGTAGACCTGGCCAGCTTTTAGCTTTTCATAACTAGCTACCTTTTTCCTGCAACTAGGTGCAAGCTAAATCAAATTTATCCCTCTGCTTTTTAATTTTCTGTTGCGTAGTGCTATGTTGCATTTAACTTGAACCGTGCATAAAAATTCAAAGGTGTCTAAAATAATGTTTACAGTGTAGGCCACCGAATGGCAGCCAAACCGGAGAACACAATCCTGTTGATTTACAGCACAAAAAGGCTCCATGCATTTTACAAAACTACCGTGCAACTTGGTACACGCTTATTCATATACCAAAACAAAGCCCAAGAATTTTTCTTCCGCTGCTATATAATTTCTTGTTGTACCGAGTTGCACGAGACTTGCACTAAACATAAAAGGAGAAAATTACCCACCTTTTTAGCATGTCCTCTCCTTGCATCCAGCAATCGCAATGCCGATCTTGGATAAATGGATCGAGCCAGTGTGTTTGTCTGACAGTTCCAGTACTCTCGGGAAAACAAAACTAACTGTTTCCCCTCGGGATCTGACATTAGGTGTATACTATTACACACTAATTATATTGTCTTATTTTGTTTACCTCTTACCTAGAATTTTCTATTACTTGAGGACTGATGAAAATATTTCCTTATGACCGTTCCGTCAATGTATAGTTTTCGAAGCTAAGCTTATCTGATAAATTTCTACGATTTTCTGAAGTTTAAGTTCACATTTCACCTCCCAAGTTACTGAGGATTTTTTTTTCGGAGAAAAAGGAAACCTAAATTTTTGGATTCAAAAATGTGATTGAGAGAGAAATGAGAAAGTATCTCTTAAGATTTTTGTAATACGTCGAATTGCATCTAAACTTTTTGGGAGAATAATACTCAAGGCCTTGTAATTTCAAAAAAACTCCAGGACAGGGTTGTTCAAAGCTGGGTTAAGTAGCCTGTTTAAATTGTAAGTTAAAATTCCCTCCCCACTGACTGCCGCGCTCTACTATCTGAACACCTGGAACAGGCTATGGGTTAAGATAACCCAGGGTTAGTGCGAAATTTGAATTCAGATATGAAAGCTTAAAAAGTAAGTTCAGTTTAATTCTTTTTGTCAACAAGCTGATCAGTGATTGGATGCTCTTAAAAATAAAAGAGGAAATTATCCGGAAAAAAGCTTTTATACAGAAGAAAAAGAAACCCGGGTTTAATTTACCCTGAGTTAAAGGAGCTGTGTCACGAAATTCAGCCCAATTAGGCAATTACAAAATGCCCGTTAAATTAAGAGAAACGTAAAATAACCGCTTAAAACATTAAAGGAAGGTTAAAATAACACAACAGATGCTACGGATGGGCAAAACTGAAGAAGATTGAAACGGATTGAAATTAGGGTTTTTGAAAACTGTTCAACTGCTTTTCAAAGTTGATCTCTGCTGTTTGCAACCTCAAAAATAAGAATGCTCAGGAGACATATTTGTTTGTCTCGAATCTCTGATTTTGTCTTTTACATGTAATTTCTTTGCTTACTTTAAGTTCCATAGCGATTGAGGGCGAGTAATTGGCAAAATTAAACAAAATGAACTGGAGTGCTGTGACACAGCTCCCGTAATCGCCAATCTACCTTCAAACAACTGGGCCCAGGTCCTCTATTTAAGATGACCGGACAGATGCAAATTTTATAGCGCTGCTTAGAATGCATTTCTAGATATCTAAAAGTACTCTGGATAGCCCAAAAAGTATTTTCAATGTATTAAGTAGCTTGCGTGGCTGGCGTTTGAAAGGGAAGGGAAAGGGAGTTTTAGGTGCGAGAGAAACGCGAGGGGCGCGCCCCTCGCGTTTTCTTCGCGCCCAAAACCCCCTTTACCTTCCCTTTCAAACGCCTGCCACGCAGGCTATGTATTTAGGAGGAAAGCGTCGATGGGTTCCCTGTGCTATTTTGCACTATTAAATTTCACGGTTCAAGTATCTCGGATTTCAAAGTGTTCCCAAATTATCTCTGCGTCCACATATTTCATGGCAACACTTTTTTTGTCGCCACACGTTATTTTTCTTTATATTCTTCTGGAAAAATTGTTATCCTTCTCTCCCAACATTCCAAGCGTCAATCACAAGTTTTGAGCCATTGGCGCCCAGGATTCGCTCGTAATTACCACGCTGCTTCTATTTCGTATTTTAGTCGGTGAAGCGAAGCGAAGCGAAGCGAGGATGCACCAAGTCCAACTGAGTTTTGTGGATACTACTTACACGCGTTGTGGCCCATCAAAATATTGTCGTAGGTCTCTGAAATGGCTACAAAGTGTGAAGGTGAATCGCACTATTTTAATCAACCCTGGAAATTAAGCGATGTCATTCTGGTTGTGGAGGAAGAGAAATTCTATGTTCACCGCGCCGTGCTTGCGTTGTCATCTCCTGTCTTTGAGAAGATGTTTTCATCAAAATTTCAAGAAAACGACAAGAACGAAGTGACTCTTCCAGATAAAAAGGCAAGCGAGGTTGAAGAATTGCTTCTGTTGTTATATCCCTCTGTGGCAGAGAAACTAATAACAGATGAAAACTGTTTCTTTCTGGTGAACCTTGCCCACGAATATCAAATAGAGACCATTGTTCGGAGATGCGAAGATTTTATGGTTGAGAATGTAAAAACTAAAGCGAAAGATTGTATCATTGCAGAATTGATTTTTGCACGGAAGTATGAATTAGTGAGATTGAAAAGGGCGACTATCGAGCAAGCTTATAATCTAAGCCTGGAAGAGTTAAAAAATGACAAAATGTACGACCAGATCGAGGAAGATGATCTGATGGATATCATGGAAGGGATTATGTTACGGCAAGGCAAAGAACTGCAAGAATTTAAGCATCAGGTTCAAAGAAATGAAGGAAAGATTTTAGCCATAAATAAACACAGCAACACTGCTTTGAAGCAGTTAGAGATGATCGCTAGGCAACTGGTTATTCATGCTGGTTTATGGAACCGTGATTTGAATAATTCCGATCACTTAGTAAGCTGTCTTCTTGTATTGAGCATGGATGAAAGAAGCGATTACTGTAAAACATGCGACTCTGCAAGATGCCCCAGTCTTAGAGAAGTCTCAAAAAAATTGAGCTCTATAAAACACTCTCTAGAACATATCATGAAGAACGTCCAGCCGGACAAAGAAACCTTACTAATGCCTTAAATGCAAAATACCAACAGGCCATAAGCAGTGTAACAAAACATGGAGGGGTGAATGAATTTTATGCCTCAAAAAATTAGACATGTCATGGAGACTAGAGTTATTTATCGTGGTAGATACAAAAGTAACGAAATTATCGTTTGTGTCACTGTGTATAGACTATTCGTTTGAGATGTAGTTCATGGTGACGTTTCAACTGCTTAGCAGTATGGTCTTCTTCAGGTCGACGTCAGGTAAATACGAGGGGGCATGTTAAAAACATGGTCTGGATTGGATTCGTTGGACCATAAGCCTACCTAAACAGAAATACACCTCCATTACACTATTTGATTGACCCTTAGTATAAAAAGTAAAAATAACATTGTTATTTACCCCTTCATTAATTTCATGGATGACAAATGCTGCTTAGATTTTGACACTAGTGTTGACTGAATCGACAAGAGAACTCTAACTTTCAGGAAAAATTTTTCGATAAAAATTCTGTCAGAGGTTATCCAGTACAGTTCCGATATTTGGGCACTAGTAGAATAGTAGGAAACACTGGGGTTAGACTGTTCACAGTCTTCTATATTTCCGTAAGATCGTCGAGATCGAGCGCATTGCGTGACGGGCTGCCATCTTGGGTGAGTGTCAAAACTCAAGATGGCTGCTATAGCTTGCCATTAACGTAAAAATAGGGGACTGTGAACAGTTTACACCGGGTCTTATGTAAGTTTGGGGTTATTGTAGCATTTAAGGAACTGTTTTTGTGTTTTGAATTTGGGATCTTGGGATCTTATATTTGAGGGACTTCTGAGTAGCTAGAGAGGCTTATTTTGGGAAATAAGACTAAGGGCTTCCTTTTCGAAGAACGGGCTTTGAGACCAATGCAGAAAAACGATACGTACTTTATTGCGAATAATTTGATTCTATTTGACAGAAATTAAACGTCAATAAGGAGAAATCTGTTTTTTCTATAGCCTATGACAGGACTTGTTAAGCTTGAATGAGGCCTGACTGGATTTGTAAAAGGAGGATTTGTAAAACATGGATGAACTGGCTGATTAAGATGTAAACGATTAGTTAATAATCGCCAAAACTGGTGAAAAGCATCAATTCTAACAACCATCTCTGCTTTTTTATAATATTAAGAGGGCATATCTTGTTGTCTTCTAATCTACAACATTACATTACACTTTAAACCACAGGCAGCCCAAGCTCACCAGTGAGACTGAATGGTTAAATGAATGAATGAATAGCGACGAATGGAACGCTTCTGTTGAAAAGAGTCACAAAACCTACCCGCCATATCAATCTCTTTAACGTGTGATCTTTGACTTTGTTTTGGGAGATAAACAAAGAAGGGGGACTCGCATTCCTTTTATACCCAAAATCGTCAATTTCTTATGCACGTTTGCATTTCCTGGGAAAAGGTTAATTAAGGCCGGAAAGGCTAACAGATGCATTTTATTGGTGTCAAAAAGTCGAGAAAACGTTTTGGTTTTCTGATTTATTCAGTACCTAAGAGACAGAAAAAGACGGAATAACTTAACAGTAACGTAGCCGCATGCATCAACTAGCTGCACGAAAAATTGTAAATTTAACTGACTTAGCATAGGCGCGTCTAGCCTGCTTGGCAGGCGTTTGAAAGGGAAGGGAAAGGGAGTTTCAGGCGTGAGAGCAAAGCGAGGGGCGCGCGCCCCTCGCTTTTCTCTCGCGCCCAAAACTCTCATTCCCTTTTCTTTCAAACGCCTGCCACGCAGGCTAAGGCGCGTCTTATAAGTAATGCAGTGATTCTGAACAAGCAATTTATAAATTCCCGTCTCGCTTTTGCTTATTACAATGTAACCGAATCGATAATAACTTAAAATTCTCATATTTAAACTGAAAGGAGAACATATAAATTTGCTGTATGCAAAATGTTCAGTACTGCCAGTCCCAGCCAGTCAGTTGAGAACTGGTACCCATTTCAACCATACCATGAACTCCCAAAAAGACACTGCTCCGTTCTCGTCTTTGTCCATCTCCGCAAACGCCTTCTCCATGTCTACAGTCTCATAGCCAAAGAACTTCATCATCTTTTCAAACTGGGCTCGGTCAAGGGTGTCGCTCTTGTCAGAGTCAAAACTCTTGAAGTAACTAAGTGCTTTCGAGAGGTAATGATACTTGGCTTTGTCGTTCAAAATTTCGAAGCGTTCCCCGCTGCGAAGCCAGTCTTGGAATTCTTCAAAGGAGATATTGTGATCCCCATTTTTGTCCAACAGTAGAAAATAGGCCCCAGATTGTTCCTGATTGAGGCCTAGTTCTCCTTCCAGAAGGAACTGAATTTCTTGTTCTTCAAGCTTCCCATTTCTGTTCGAATCGTATTTGTCAAAAAGACTGCGTATGGCGGCTGTCGGAGCTTTTTTGTCAAAATAACTGAATCCTGCTTGCATGCCTCTGAATATTTCTTCAAGTGTATCAGTATGTTATCGCCTTTGGGTTATGATTGTGGCAAATTGAATCCTTGATCTCATATATATACCCTTGCGACACTTTGAAATTTAACCTTAAAATAAAACCACACGTGAGGTATCTTGGCAAAAAAGATATACGCAAATTCTAATTTTTACCCCATCAAATTTGACTCTCATTTCTGTACCTTGGAGACAAGAAGGACCTTAAAAATATGCCAAGAGTGTTGCAGTTTGCTGCTTGCTGGGTAGAAACAAATAATTTACATGCAAAACACTCGTATTAATATGTTGTTTCACCTTATTAAACAGTATTTAAGCCCGTTATGTTTTTTTCTTTATTTACTCGGTATTTTTTCTTAGAAGAACATGATTTTACTACTTGAGTTCCGGTTTAGTAGTTGTGTATTCAGTTCCAGAAACTCGTGTCTAAACCGTCTTTACGTCAGCAGTGATGCAGAGCGTGCGAGATGTCTACACGCAGGCAACTCAGATCAGTGTGTATTATAAGTATGAGTTTTTCCGTATTAAATTTTTCTCATTTTCTTTTAAAAAAACGCTTCTCTTTTCAGTCGTAAGTAATTAAAACACACTGTAAAAAAGTAAAACCAAAGACAAAAAAAACGTTGACACGACTCACGTCGACGCAAATTGCGAAATTACTGAATATTTAAAACTTAAACTTTAATGAAGTAGATTGGTGCAGCAATAGTACCAAAAATAATTCGTTTTAATAAACAGATTTCAGCACGTAAAGTTTTCTGTTTTCGATCAAACGGGTTAATCTGATGGAATGTTTTAGACCAACACCAAAGAGAAAGCTGTTTTCCTTGCACAGTCAATCCACCCCCTTTAAAAACAATTTGAAATTTGAAAGCAAAGTCGATGTAAGTTTTGTTTGTTTGTTTGTTTCTCTTCGGTCACTGTTCGGTCAATATCCCGACATCGGAATGCTAACTGAAAATAGCAGCTGAAATAGGGACAAATGTGTTGAACGGCCGGTGGGACGGTGGAAAGACTTTGAACGTGACTTTGTGTTACTTCAGATTACGTCACAAATAATTTAATGACAGCAGGCATGAAAAAAGCCGTTCCGTCACGCTGATATGGAATGACGGTTGCCCTATTTTTAGAAACATTGCTAATAAAAAGGATTTGCAATTCACATATTACAAAACCTTTATAAAGCGTGAAAGAGCAAAGTTTCATAAAAGAACGAAGACAACCGAAGTTTCAGTTTAAAAGACGAAATTATTATATCGGTGGAAATGCAGGCAGGCCATTCTTACTTCTCCCGCGATGCTCCAGAAATCGCTATTCACAGCCTTTTCGACAAATACGACCTGGAAAAAAATGGCAAACTCGACAAAGCGGAGCTAAAGGAATTATTAGAAGGCGATTTGGGTTTAAGCCCTGAACAATCTTGTATCTACATGCTGATCTTAGACCACGCTGGCGAACACAACGTAACTTACGAGGAATTTTTCAACTGGCTGCGAAGTGGCGAACGCTTTGAAAACATCAACGACAAGTCGAAGTTCGGAAAATTGTGTAAAGCAGTGGAAATATTTAAAACTTATGACAAGGACGACACGGATACACTGGACAGAAAACAGTTTGAAAGTCTCGTAAAATCTCTTGGATATCGAAAGGTGAATTCAAAGAAACTCTTCAAGGAATTAGACGTGGATCACAATGGGAAACTTTCCTTTTATGAATTTATGAAATGGCTTAATTGGGTTCCAATTGAAGACTTCTAGAAACTCACATAGCTCGGTTATGATTATAAGAAACTTAATTTATCACATGAGTACCTGTTAATTTTATTCTGTCTTAGGGGATTTGTTTAAAATATTGTAGGAAAATGTGTATGAAGTAGCACGTATTTGTTCATATCTTTGTATATATGATTAAAATTTTCCGTAAATCTATCGAGGGCTGCATTTAAATTATTGTAATAGATGTTAACAATTGTATAGAGATCTATTTTTAAAAAATATGTATGTATTTAGATACGCATTCTCAATGGCTGTATACTTGCAATTGAATAAATATTTGAAGCACATTTCTTTATAACCCTCTCGTGAATATTTGCTTTAAGTGTTTCAGTTTCTCGAGAATGAAAATTACGCCAAAAACGGAAAAATCAGGCGAACGTAAGCTTTAACTAAATGAATTCTTGCTGTTATGGTAACATATAGCCTTAATGACCACTTGAAATAAATACTCTGACGTCTTTCCTTTAAAAATTCATAATCCATGGAAGTACGTGATCATCTTTTAAGCTGGCAATACAAGGGGTCTACTTAGTAGATGATTTTGCAAAAAATCGAAAAACCTGCTGATGACAAATGTAATAACTGGAAGACACTTCGTGATCTTGCGGCTTTTTAGCAGCTGCCTGCCATCTTAATCCCATTAATTCTGGGACGGCAGGCAAGGGATCAGGCCGAACAGTTACCAGCTCTCATTCAGTCTCTCTTTTCAGTCGATTGTTTCGCCTTATCGCCGGAATTTTATTTATCAATTAAAGCGTTACGAAACAGAGGCTGGTCTCAGAGAATGCTCAGACCTAGCCCCTTAAAAATATACATTACGAAAAGTGATACTTGATAGAGATCCAAGCAACCGGGACAGAAGCAAACTATCAAAACACTCCTGGTGACTAAAAATATGTAAAAAATGATCGCTTTAAGAATAAGGGAAAAAATATATCAGCAAAAGCGCAACTGTAGGCCAGTTTCGAATGAGCCATTTGCACGGTGACGTCATTTTACTGCTACTTCCAGAACCATCAGGGCCGAGTTGTTCGAAGCTAGGTTAAGCTAACCCAGGGTTAGTGTAAAATTTGAACTCAGATATGATGGCTTAAAAAACAAACTAAGTTTATTTCTCTTTGCCTACAATTTAATGATTGGATACCCTTAAAAGAATATTGAAAATTATACGAGAGAGTGCGTTTGATGAAAAGAAAAAGAAGCCCGGGTTAAAATTTAACCCTGGGCTAGCACTAACCAGTGTTCGAACAACTGGGCCTTGGATTTTATTTTCTTGTCCAAAGTAGGGCTTTTTGTTATTTAAACCTCAGTGGGACTACTACATTTAAATAGAAAGAATAAGCGAAATGAATTCTGGTCTTGGTAGTAAAAAGACGCATCGTGCAAATGGCCTATTACGTACAGTAAATAAGTAAATAATTTAATAGCATCTAGGCTCGCGCGACTGAAAAAAAAAGAACTACATTATTTATAGCCTGCGCGCAGACACTATATCCACACTATACGCGATATGTGGGGCCGGCTGAACCCCAGGCTACATTATTTACCCCTGAATGTTTTGTGATTATTTTGTTATTATTCCTCTCCAGACAGCCTCGGGGACAAGTATGAAATTAATAAGGTAACCACCCAGTTCAATTCCCACAGTCCTTTCTCTTTTCTATTGCTAGCCATTCTCGTCCCCTTGCGCCTTCTGTATCAATTTAGCCAGCAGTGGGGAAAGGGGTCGCCAGTGCAACTGAGAGGTAGGGAAGCGGGATCCTTATTGAACGAGAAAAAGGAATAACACAAAAGCAAACTGCGGTTACAAACATCAGAAATAACAAAGGCATTGTATAAGTGACGTTTATAATATCGAACTGCAGTTTGTGTGTCATTCCTTATAAAACTGAGATGGCCAAAAACCAAGAGCATTTGAGAAAAAAGAGAAAAAGGAAAAGAAAATTATTAGTGAAAACCCCGGGGAACGAAGCCTTGAACCAAAGTTTCCTAAAAGTAAAACTGGTAATGACACATCAACTGAGCAGTCAGAGAAGAGTATTACCACAGACCACGAGAGAAACTATGTAATGGTGTCCTTACAGTCGTATGGGACGGAGATGCAATTCCGCATACAATATATAGCGCTAGCCCTGTTAAACCCAAGACTCTTTTTGAGCCACAATGGATGGACAAATGCAGTTCTAGGAAACTTTTTAAAAAGGGGTTCATATGCGCCAAAATTAACTCTGGAGCAACTTGAGAAATTCAAGTAGATAAACTAGAACTCCCAACCAAAAGGAAGTCGCGAACCCGGAATTCAAGCCCGCGGAAGTGTTTCTATTTCCAGGAAATGTTTATAATCCTGTAGTGTCCTCAATCCTGAGCAATGCCTTCAAATTAATTATTCCTGAGTCACTGCACACACTGGTCACTACGGAAATAGTAAAAATACACGGAAAAGTGGGCTCAATTATCTGTTCTCAGAAGCGTGTCCAATTCTAGGAAATGTTGATCAGTAATGCTTAGCACAAAAGTGCCAGTTTTGAATATCTGAGTTATTTAATTACCACGTCTCGCCGCTTACGAGTACCAAGTTATTTACTGGGTCGTGCTTAAATTGAAGTTTAAAGAGGTTTAAACTCCCCAGTGGCGGGTTTGTTACCTGCAGTCAGCAATAAAGACGATAACATTTCACAGTTGTAGGATATAGAGCGATTTTTAATATGACCTTCTAAAACTCATTAATAATTCATAAGTTTGATAGCCAATAAAAAATGGCTAAATTCGTCACGTGTATGAGTTTTGATACTCAATAAAAACACAGATGAAAACCACACGTGTTTTGATCCAAACCACGTGTGGTTTTCATCTTTGTTTTCATTGGGTATCAAAACTCATACACGTGACGAATTAAGCCATTTTTTTATTGGCTATCAAACTTATGAATTATTAATGAGTTTTAGAACATCATTTCCATGATCAAAATTTTCACATCTTTGAACAATAGCCTTCATTAAATATTCATGGGTAAGCCCGGTAACAGACGGTAACAATTTTTCTCGGTTAACTTCTCTTCTACAAAGGGGTATATGATTTGAAGCAACTCTATTATTTTACTCGCCATTTTGCCGGGAATTGGAATCTCGTTCTGGACGCCTCTTGCTTGACGCCTCTCATTGAATGTAAACATCTCTTTAAAAATATAGGAGAGCACACAGCAAGCACTGCTCGGTGAACGTGCAGTTTTTGGCCCTCAACCACCAGAATGACATCGCTAAATTTCCATGGTCGCGTAAAGTCTTGCGATTCACCTTGGTTACCTAGTGCCTTTGAATAAATTATTCATTGTTAAACCAAGTACTGACGTGTGGCCTACAAAGGTACTGAATCCCTGTCTTTGTTGTAAGAGCAAGTCCGCAATTTTCACACTTTTATTGATTTAACTCTTGAATGGCGGCTTTAAAAAGTAACGAACCGCAAAATTTTGACCAACCGTGGAAATTTAGTGATTTCGTTCTGGTGGTTGAAGATAAGAAACTTCATGTTCATCGAGCTGTGCTTGTCTTATGCTCTCCCGTCTTCGAGAAGATGTTTACATCCGAATTTCAAGAAAAAGACAAGAACGAGATTTCTCTTCCTGGTAAAAAGGCGAATGAAGTGATCCAATTGCTTCAGGTCATATACCCTTCTGTATCAGAGAAGCCAACCGATCAAATAAAAGAGGGGAATTGTCGCTTCTTGATACAGCTTGCGGATGAATACCAAATGGACGCCATTGTTCGTAGATGTGAAGATTTCATTGTCACACTAATGAAGAAATCGCCGAGAAAAGGAATAATCGAGAAGCTGGTGTTTGCCCAGACATACAACTTACAAAAGCTGAAGCGGGCGAGTATTGAATTGGCTGGTAATCTTAGCCTTTTTGAACTGAAACAGAGCAAATTCTACAATAAAATCAAAGCAGAGAATCTGCAAGAAATTTTGGAAAAAATAATACAAAGGCAAGAGGAAGAAATAGAATTACATAAAACAAGAGAGACAACAGAGACAAGAGATACAAGAGATACAAGGGATACAAGAGAGCATAGCAGGTGGAGACCCGACCGCGATCGCTTTTCGAGACCGTTCTCTTCCTCGTAAAAGAGTCGTTAGCTTTCTCTAAGAACCTTCAATTGGAAGCGCTTTTTAAATTTTAAGGTTTGACCTGTAACTTCACATACGAACTACAGCCTTAATTCAGTCAATTCCTAGCGTATCCATCTTAGGGCATTTGTTGGGCCATAGTGCTGTGTTCTGGCGGTAGGGAAATTAATTAGGGACCTTAGAGAGCCTTTAGAGCAAAGTGATTTTGAAGAGAAGAGCACAAGCCCTATTGTGGAGAAGCTTTCGCGAGGGAGGGCTTTGGGAAGCTTTGCAAAGAATGTGCAGCGATAATCTCTTTGCTTGCAAAGATTGCCACCCAAGTTTTACCCATATAAAGGGAACAAAAATACATTTTCCTCGTCTTGAATTTTACACGGTTAAGACCGAGTCTTCTTCGGCCTGATCCGTGAGAAAAATCGAGAAAACTCTAGCTCAGGTTCGACTTTTAATTAGGTACTATCGTCCTCCTACGCACTGCGCATGAATTTGCGATTCTTAGCCCCTTTCAAAAAAACATACCTTTTGCTTCAGCTTGCCTCGTTCGAAGGGTGGGGGAATAGCTCACACTTTTAAACCCCACATAGCCCGCATAGCAGGCGCCAGTTCTGTTAGGGCGAAGGAAAAAAATCTCGAGGACGCGCAGGGGGGAAAATGAGATCTTCGCGTGTTCCCTCGCGCGGCCTGTAATAAGATAATTACGAGCGCCCCTCTACGCAGGTTATACCCCAAGGTGAGAGTTTTGTAGAACAGAGGGGGGTTTTGCAGCTTCCGAACAAATTAAATGCCCGACACATGCATGGGGAGGGGAAGATTGGCTCGCCTGGAATCTGACCTCCAGGTGCTGCGTCTCAGGTCGGAGCTTGAGCAGTTTTTACAATTTTTTGACAGGTTTGACTCACGTTTTGAAGTCGGCCGTATTTTATTGAGCAATGAACGTTTGTCATGTTTAAAACAACCTATGAGTAGTCATATTCCGGCTGCAAATGGAAAAATCAAGTTCTAAAAACCAGTTTAGTTTATTTAGTATGTTTACCAAGAGAATCATAAATTTACTTGAATAAGGTTTTAAGCCTGTTTATAATTTGCAGTCCAAGTCTTGCGCACATTTCGCCGTGAATGCAAAACAGTGCATGATGTTTTGTTCAGTTCATCTGAAAGCGCAAGAAAACTTTTAAAACATATCGTACGTAAATAATAACGTCTTAACAGCGCATAAAAAAGGTACCACAGTTCGTGGGCTAGCACCCAGGGTAACAATACCTTGCTTCTATTATTATTATTATTATTATTATTATTATTATTATTATTATTATTGTTCATTTATTTATTTTTTAGAATACCTTGCTTCTGCTCTTCTTTTAAGGTAGAAATATGTAAGAGTTGAAGCTTCTCCTAGATTAAAGACATTACCGCATCGTCCTGGTATTGTCCTTTGTTCTTTTCTATGAAACTATTTTCATCGCTCACTACAGCCAAACATATAAAAATATAGCCAGAGACCTGTCATTGATCTGTCAACAGTAGTGAATTGTCCAATCAGCTACTCCGTTTCCGTGCTGACAGAGTGTTTGTTTACTACAAAAGGGTCCGCAGTCCGTTTTTTCTCGTCTCAAAATATTCCCTTTTTGGCTAAACGCGTTTTTCCCTATTGTTATAACGGGCTCACTGTGAATAAGAACTCTTAGAGGATAGGCGGGCTGTAAGCAGTCAAGTCCTACGCAGAGACCTCTTTGTGCAGATGTTAGTTGGGGAAAGGAGAAAAAGTGCGTGCGGTGGGGAAAACTATGTACAAGGGAAAGAGTAGATGACTCTTTCTTCTTCACAGGCTTCTTCTGATCGCACTCACATTTCCCGCGCTCTTTTATTTTTCTTTTTCTTATTACTAAGAGGAGCCTTTGCGTAGGTAACTTTGGTAACTTTAACGAGCACTGGCTCTTTTCACCTTTTGTTTGCAAATTATACTTCAAAATCAAAATAAATACTGCATGTTCTTTATCTCCATCACTTTTATTAAGCAAAAAAGACGACAGAGCGTTACAATTTATTTCGTGGACATATTGTATAAGAATTGTAAGAAATTCTACGTGGAGCAATCGTATTTCATTCTAAAGTTGATCCTTTCTAACGCCACAGTGCATTATACAAATAATAAAAGCAACGAAAAAAAGAACACAGTAACTTTGGGGAATATACACTCCAGACGAACGGTAAGTACTTCATATATGATACAGTATAGGAATCATAAATGAAGTACCTACCGGACGAATAGGTGATACCGCTGACAGAATACCAATGTACAGTAGACGCAGAGGACCAGAGACTGACTGAGAGTGATGACGTAACCCGCTTGGTAAAAGAGAACTCTGCAGCCTATAGAAACAACAACAACAACAACAACTTTATTACACTTAAACGGTTTACAAGTAATAAATTAAAGTGAACTTAAAAGGAAAAGGAGAAAGCTATTAAATACTTCACATCTATTTTGAAGAGCTTGGGTGTTGTATTTTAACTAAAGTATCGACTTCAACCAGTCGTTCCCATCCAAAAGAGTATCGAATAAAAATCCACGAATTATTCTCTTAAAAACTTCCTCAGATTTTGCTTTTCTTTTTTAGGTTTTTTTCTCCTATTTAGACAAAATTTTAGGTCGAAGGGAAAAGCACGGAGAGAAAGAGACACGTCCTTTCGCCAGCGCAAATGCAACATAAAAAAAAAAAAGAAAAAGAAAACAAAGAAAGAAAGTAATGGACCAATAAAAAGTTCCAAGCTAAAAGATCTATCAAACGGACTAGGAAGAGTCACTGTCCATTAGATGGAACACAAGTGCTTCAAAGTGGACTTCTCAAGAGATCAGTGAATAAAAATACAAAGTTGCGCCTTCTAAAATCTATATGGAGTGCAGCAGGCAAATTATTTTGGTGTCAGTCGCAGGCCGACAGATGAAAAGTCTCTGGCACTCAGGTAGACCAAACGGCCCATAAATTACACCCTTCGGCGCCGCAAATACTTGTATGGCTTAAACGCGGAAGCACTCTCTCGAGCTAGATAGGACATCGGCAAAGAACGTCCCCTGACTGCTGTTGTTATTCTCTCATCTTTTATCTCAGTCTTACTGAAAAAAGTCCTTGATCTCCTGTCAAGTGAACTGGTGTGTAAGTAACTTTACATACCTTGCTTCATCCCTGGCGTTTCGTATAACAGACAAAATTCCAGCCATCAGCCACAGACATGGACCGCAATAAGTGGCTGCATATGTGAGAGGGACCATAATACAGGGTACGAAATCCTCTAGCCCACATAGCCCGCAGAAATATCCACCGAGGCCAGGCTGTTTGAGGTCCCAAAGGAAAAGTACTTGGTATGGCCCATCCACAAGGAACTGAAGGTAACGATCCACGACTTCTCTCGGCTACGGAGAAAGTGTACAAATACTAACAAATAACAAAACAGTAAGAGTTCATGATGTAATGAGAAAACTTGTTAAATTTCAAAAAGCACGATTAACTGAATCAATTCCTTTATAAGCGGCAGAGGTCGCGAAGGAGTCTTATAAAGAATTCAAACCTCACCCACAAAAAAAAAAACAAGATGTTGAAGGGACACCAAAGCTATAACATTCCAAAATCAAACAAGAACGTGTTGTGCATTGTTTCAGTTTGTTTGTGCGTTTATTGAAAAATTATCACTTAAGATCGCTAGATACGCCAAAAAGTAGTTTTGCTGCAATTGCTTTGATGTTGACCTTCAAAAATGCATCAATTCACCCAGGTGGGTACTCAACAAATGTTTATAAGGGGACGCTCCCTGGGCATGGAGCTGAATGGCCTATATAACTTTTCAAAACGCTATTTTTGCACAAAGAGTTAAGACCGTTTGGTTGTATATATATATTTTTCATGCTAGCAGAAATGTTGTGTGAAGTCCACAAAGAGTTGGTAAATGCTGCACGAAGGGAAACATGTTCAGTGCTTAGAGCTAGAGGATGTAATGCCATGAGTACCCTCAGCTTTACAGAGATCATAAAAGAGATCCAAGCTCTTCAGTCCCACAGTATTCAGTTTCCTCTCTCCGTAGGGTGGGTAGGAGAGGACCGTGGAAACAAGGTTGGCCATATCACGTGTCCCTGAGGCCCTGAGGATCCTACGTTCCGCGTCAAATTCGTTTTCGGTCCTTTGCATTTTTAATGTCAATTTAATCCCAGTCATAATTTGTTGAAATACTTCCGGGAAACACAACAGAAACTTGGTCGTTCATGAATTCATGTATTGCTTCCCTCCGGCCTCTCCTTCCCGAAAGGGAAGAGAAGGAAAAATTCGCAAGCCGAAGCGTTTCACTAATTATGACGGGAATGCAGCCCGAAACCACATGAAAAAGGTGTTAGATCTAGTCATGTGTGACGCGTTTTCAGTTTACTTCCAGGAGGTAATAACGTAGAAATTGTGATTTCCGGGAATTGTGTGCAACTCTGAGAAATTAACAATTAATGAATGAGGCTGAGTATCGTATGAAGAATTATGGACGGCCGAGGCGGATAACACCCTCCGAGATCTCCATAATTCTTCATATGATACGAAAGCCGAATTCAATAATTGTTTTATTATTCATTCAAAGTAATTCCTAGTTTAAAACAAAGCTAAAACATGCTTACCTCCATTGATGTTAAGTTCACCTTCGATAGTGCACGTTTAGGGTTGTTCAGCTCCGCAAATACTTCTCCAAACAACTCAACCTCGTCCCCAGGTCTTCTCGGTTAATGGTGCCTTAACCTGCAAGAACGCTGCATTTTTGACGTCATTTCCTCGTTAAACATAAAATTCTTCCAAATTTGGTCATCGGTAACTGGTTATGGGTGTGCTTTTAGCCAATCAGAATCAGGGAAATAAATAATAATATGAATGAATAATAATGTTAGGTTATACTACTACATACATGAGAAATTTCTGCAATTTGATTGGCTTAGAGCAGTGGTATTTCAGCTTAATTTGAAATACCTACATGTGAAAATTTCAAACCTTTTGCGAGTAGTAGTATAAACAAATAATAGCATAATTTGTACGTGATATTGGGCATAAATACCACTCGTGATATTTCAAAATTGTCTCAAATTTCACTCGCCTAACGGCTCGTGAAATTACGTATAACAATTTCGAAACATCACTCGTGGTATTTATGCCAAATATCTCTACAAACCATGCTATTACCTATACTAATGTTTATAATACTGGGGTGTATTTTTAATTTTGGGAAACGCTCTTTTAAACGCTGAATTAATCATGAGCTACTGTATAATAACAGTCTGGTGGAAATCGTCAATGTTAATCGTCCTCCTTCAGTGTTGTGAAATTAAATCTGCCAAAAGTTTTTAGTATTGGGTTAACTTGAAATCCGGTCCGCCAATGGCAGATAAAGAAAGTAACGGAGAAAGGCAAGATTTTACCCAAGCATGGAAATTTAGCGATGTCGTTCTCGTGGTCGAAGGTGAAAAACTCCATGTTCACCGAGCTGTGCTTGCCTTGTGCTCCCCCGTTTTCGAGACGATGTTTACGTCCGAATTTCAGGAAAAAGAGAAGAAAGAAATTTCCCTTCCCGGCAAAAAGGCTAACGAAGTGAAGGAGTTGCTTCAGGTTATTTACCCTACTGTAGAAAGGAAGCCACCCGATGAAATAAAAGAGGGCAATTGCCACTACCTCTTAAGCCTCGCACATGAATATCAAATGGAAGCCATTACTCAGAGATGTGAAGACTTCATTGTCAAAATAATGAAGGAATCGTTTTCAGTGAAGAAGGATCCGGATATCATTGCAGAGCTGGTATTTGCACAGACGTACAACTTAAAGAAGCTAAAGCAGGCAAGCATTGAACTGGCTCAAAGTCTTGCTCTTCCAGAGTTGAAAAAGCAAAAAGGTTACGATGAAATCCGTTCAGAGAATCTTCAGGAAATTATGGAAAGAATGATAACACGGCTACAGAGTCAATTGACTGACACTCAGACTAAATTAAGTGAAGCTAAGCGGTCTCTATCTTATTTCCAACTGCGATAAAACACCTCATCAGATTACTGGTTGGACTGGAGGAAAATATTGCACAGGGGCACACAGCGTCAATTTTTGGAAAATATCTGTTCTGTGGACGATTTGAGATCTAGCATTTTCGGAACATTTTTGTGTAAAATTTCTCGCTTGCCTGCCTCTCCAAGGATTTTCGAACATCTAAAAAATTGGTATAATTGGCCATTTTTAACGGATTTTTACCCTAAAAAGATCGTCTAAGTAGTCTAGTGTGTTGAAAATTAAGCCTCATTGGTGGATTCTCTTTGGATTCCCTCGCAAAAAGTGGATTTCCTTCATTACATAATATGCAGGATTCCCTCCTTACGTAGTAAGTGTCTTCCTCCATATCTAATTATGTGGATAGTCGTTTCTTTTCTTTTGAAAGAACACAATAGGAACAATAGGCTTGCCTAGACTTGTCCGGTAAGTAACTTGAGCCCGGTTTACCGGAATGTCTATTACACCTAGCAACTCGAGAAACGGCTTACTATATCTTATTTAGCGTTTGAAAAAAATCGGATACATCAACAGAACACATACACAAAGTGGTGCTGAAAAGTCTTTATTTCAATTTTGTCTGACAATTACAGATCTAGAACCGTTTTTTCCTGTCTATCTCGAGGACATGAAAAACGATTTAAGTCTTGTCATTTTCACGCACTGTTAGTCAGTTAATTGTGCGAGTTCACAAGCCCAAAGTTGAATACAAATTAATTCATCTCTACAGCTAGACCCAAGGGAGCACCTTGACGTAAAAATATCATATAAACAATTTTTTTTACGCAGTTTTCAATGGAATCAAACCACTATGAGATGAAGCCGCGTTTCCAAAGCTTATCATTTTCTTAAAAAATTAGCTAATTGTGTGGATAGCATGCTATTTCACTGTTTTTATGATGCTTAAAACTTCGTTTCAAAATATTTCGCAAACGCTCTCTTAGAATTTGTTCAAACTTTGACGTAATTGAGGCAATTATGGCAGGTACAAACTCCCTTAAGCGATTTCTTAAAAAAACTCTTGGTACAGAGAATCACAAAGATAAATAAAAAACGTAATGGCGTCGTTACGTTGCCATGGCGACTCCGATTGCAATAAAACCCAGATCATAAGAAATTTTCATCTTTATATAATACAGTTGTGGTAACCTTTTTCCCATATCTTTACTCATGGCAACGTAGTTAATGCTCAAACTTGGGAGGTATCCCCCCCAAAAAATCCAGTCGAGCCACCTTAGCAAGGATCAAATAAAACACGCGACTAATAATTGCTAGCAATAAAACCACAAGAGAGATACCGTTTTAAAAACTTTATTAAAAGCCAATAACGAAAAGAGTCAAATACACAGCGATTTGAAAGGAAAAAGAACGAAAATTAATCCTTTGACTGACTATCAAAAATCTGTTTTTTGCATTCTATTTCGAGGGGTAATAAATAATCCTTCCGTGTCTACACAATTTCCCTATGGACTCTAAGCCAAGAGTTCGACTTTCTTTGTTTCTCGCGCTTTGTCTTGTTCTTTGTAGGCGGTCTTTTAGCTTCATTTCTCTGTGATCTTGACAGTTCGTACACCGTTTCTTGTGTCTGTACTAGACTGCGATAGTGTTTTTTTCCCTAATTATCCGCTTCACTTTCATAAACGACGACCTCAACTGTAGGTTGCAGTTTCGCCTCTTGTAAATACTGTCTTCACTGTATGTGGTCTAACTGATGAACATCCGCGAGATGGTTAGCTAATCTGACAAGGTACTTCGCCCCTCAAGATGAAATCGGACAGTTCTTAGCCTTCAAGAACTCAAACGTAACAAATTTTACGGCAAAATCAATGCAGAGAACCTGCAAGGAATTTTGGAAGAAATAATAATCCGGCTTGAGAAAGAAGTGAGCTCATTTAAAGTTCCGAAGCGTTCGGCACGCGAGTGGAAAGATTGGTAGTAAACCTTAAAAAAATGATATTTCACTGAAAGTAAGTAAATCGGTACTCTTGAATCGCAAGGTTTTTTCAACAAAACGTTGACAAAGAAATGACCGTAAGAGCTATTGTTTTCAAGTTCCTGGGAGAACTGTATATTCCGCGAGCAACTAAGGCAAATTATGGGAGTCGATAGTTGAAAGAAAAATTCCTAAATTATATCAAACGAATTGCAGATAAATGCAAATAAATAATATTTGTCTTTGTATATGGTAGAAATGTTCCTTTTTGTTCTAGCCAGTTTACGGGTACCTCACTCAAAACAATTGCGGCAAGCTAAATGATCTAAACTTAATGAAACATAACCATTGTTAAAAGCCCCTAGCTTGCAAGAGGCAACCAGTTTGTTCTTTGCAAGCAAGCCTGAGAAGTTAAACTTAGGATTGCCGAGAACCGGAATAGTGCTGGTGATCTGAGGGGGTCTCGAGCGTGGGACAATGGGAAGTGCTAGTCCAACATGCTGACCACCTAGCACGCAGACACCCCCAACTACCCTTAATGCAATAAATATTACGTTCTCAAAACAAGTAGCCGATGAGCAGCACAAATATATCCCAACTGAGCAGTCAAGTCGTGTAATAAAGCAAAAGCGCACGTTTTATGGCCTATTTACAAAGTGTAAACAACTTCGAACGGCTCTATAAAAATTTGAACAAGCAGTAATAATATCTGTTCCAATTTTATCCGTTCGTTACCAAAAAGGATCCACATGCGCCCATGCTCCGCTCACAGAATAGAAGGCTTGAAAATCAGATGTGGCATCACCAACAAAACAAGCAGTTATCGCCTGTCCCAAAAATATGTCTATATTGCTGGCTAGACACTTGAGACGATGAACCGGGAAATGGGTAGACGCCTTTTTCTCCTCCAATGTCCTCCCCCCCACCCCTCCCCCAACTCCAACCGCGAGCACTCTTTAAAGAGCCCTAACTCTTTTCACCTTTTGTTTGCAAATTATGTTCCAGAATCAAAACGAACGCTACGTGTTCTCTACGTGTTCTCTCCGGGGCGCTACAATTTGTTTCGTGGACACATTCTAAGAAATTCTATATGGATCAATGGTATTTCATTCTGACTTTACAGGGAGAAGTTGATCCTTTCTTACTCCACAGGGCATTATAGAAATAATAAAGCCTACAAACAACGAACACAGCAAAGTTTCCTGATGTTTAGTACAATAACTTTGGGGAGAATACACTCCAGACGAACAGATAATACCGCTGACAGAATTCCAGTGCAAGAGTGATAACGTAACACGCTTGGTAAAGAGATTCTACAACCTATAGAAAGTAATGGACCAAGGAAAAGTTCCAGGCTAAAAGATCTATCAAACGAACTAGGACGAGTCACCATCCATTAGATGCAACACAAGTGCTTCAAAGTAGACTTCTCAATTAAGAGATCAGTACAAAGTTGCGTCAGTCTTCTAAAATCGATACCCAGTTCCAGACCGAAACTATTTTTTTTGTGTGTAGTGCGGGAAGCCGGTTGTTTTGGTGTCAGTCGCAGGCTGACAGATGAAAAGTCTCTGGCAATCAAAGTAGACCAAACGGCCCATAAATATGTATGAATGTTCGTGTAATCATTTTGTTTTTTAACCTAGGTCTTAATCCAGGGGCGGTGCCTTGCATGGGACGTTAGTCCCGTTGCACCCACCCCTTTTCGGTTTTTGCTTCTTTTTTGTGTGTGTGTGTGTGTGTTGTATTACAAATTTATATTGTATTCACTAGAGGAGCACCCAATAAAGCTGTAAAAAACAACAACAAAAAATTACACCCTTCGACGTCGTCAAAACTTGTATGGCTTAAACGCGGAAGCGCTCTCGAACTAGCTAAAAAGGTTTTAACTAACAACTTTATATATTCAATCAGTGAGATAGGACATCGGCAAAGAACGTCCCAAAACTGCTGTTGTTATTCCCTGATCTTTTTTCTCAGTATTACTGGATAAAAGTCCTTGATCTCCTGTCAAGTGAACTGGCCGGTGTGTAAGTAACTTTACATACCTTGCTTCATCCCTGGCGTTTGATATAACAGACAAGATTCCAGCCATCAGCCACAGACATGGACCGCAATAAGTCGCTGCATATGTGAGAGGGACCATAATACAGGGTACGAAATCCTCTAGCCCACATAGTCCGCAGAAATATCCACCGAGGCCGGGCTGTTTGAGTTCCCAAAGGAAAAGTACTTGGTATGGCCCATCCACAAGGAACTGAAGGTAACGATCCACGACTTCTCTTTGCTACGGAGAAAGTATACAAATACTAACAAATAACAAAACAGTAAGAGTTCATGATGTAATGAGAAAACTTGTTAAATTTCAAAAAGCACGATTAACTGAATCAATTCCTTTATAAGCGGCAGAGGTCGCGCAGGAGTCTTATAAAGAATTCAAACCTCACCCATAAAAAAAAACAAGATGTTGAAGGGACACCAAAGCTATAACATTCCAAAATCAAACAAGAACGTGTTGCGCATTGTTTCAGTTTGTTTGTGCGTTTATTGAAAAATTATCACTTAAGATCGCTAGATACGCCAAAAAGTAGTTTTGTTGCAATTGCTTTGATGTTGACCTTCAAAAATGCATCAATTCACCCAGGTGGGTACTCAACAAATGTTTATAAGGGGAGGCTCCCTGGGCATGGAGCTGAATGACCTATATAACTTTTCAAAACGCTATTTTTGCACAAAATATTACATTAATCTCTGAATTAAGACGGTTTGGTTGTATATATATATTTTTCATGCTAGCAGAAATGTTGTGTGAAGTCCACAAAGAGTTGGTAAATGCTGCACGAAGGGAAACATGTTCAGTGCTTAGAGCTAGAGGATATAATGCCATGAGTACCCTCAGCTTTACAGAGATCATAAAAGAGATCCAAGCTCTTCAGTCCCACAGTATTCAGTTTCCTCTCTCCGTAGGGTGGGTAGGAGAGGACCGTGGAAACAAGGTTGGCCATATCACGTGTCCCTGAGGCCCTGAGGATCCTACGTTCCGCGTCAAATTCGTTTTCGGTCCTTTGCATTTTTAATGTCAATTTAATCCCAGTCATAATTTGTTGAAAATACTTCCGGGAAACACAACAGAAACTTGGTCGTTTCATGAATTCATGTATTGCTTCCCTCCGGCCTCTCCTTCCCGAAAGGGAAGAGAAGGAAAAATTCGCAAGCCGAAGCGTTTCACTAATTATGACGGGAATGCAGCCCGAAACCACATGAAAAAGGTGTTAGATCTAGTCACGTGTGACGCGTTTTCAATTTACTTCCAGGAGGTAATAACGTAGAAATTGTGATTTCCGGGAATTGTGTGCAACTCTGAGAAATTAACAATTAATGAATGAGGCTGAGTATCGTATGAAGAATTATGGACGGCCGAGGCGGATAACACCCTCCGAGATCTCCATAATTCTTCGTATGATACGAAAGCCGAATTCAATAATTGTTTTATTATTCATTCAAAATAATTCCTAGTTTAAAACAAAGCTAAAACATGCTTACCTCCATCGATGTTAAGTTCACTTTCAATAGTGCACGTTTAGGGTTGTTCAGCTCCGCAAATACTTCTCCAAACAACTCAACCTCGTCCCCAGGTCTTCTCGGTTAATGTTGCCTTAACCTGCAAGAACGCTGCATTTTTGACGTCATTTCCTCGTTAAACATAAAATTCTTCCAAATTTGGTCATCGGTAACTGGTTATGGGTGTGCTTTTAGCCAATCAGAATCAGGGAAATAAATAATAATATGAATGAATAATAATGTTAGGTAATGTTTATAATACTAGGGTGTATTTTTAGTTTTGGGAAACGCTCTTTTAAACGCTGAATTAATCATGAGCTACTGTATAATAACAGTCTGGTGGAAATCGTCAATGTTAATCGTCCTCCTTCAGTGTTGTGAAATTAAATCTGCCAAAAGTTTTTAGTATTGGGTTAACTTGAAATCCGGTCCGCCAATGGCAGATAAAGAAAGTAACGGAGAAAGGCAAGATTTTACCCAAGCATGGAAATTTAGCGATGTCGTTCTCGTGGTTGAAGGTGAAAAACTCCATGTTCACCGAGCTGTGCTTGCCTTGTGCTCCCCCGTTTTCGAGACGATGTTTACGTCCGAATTTCAGGAAAAAGAGAAGAAAGAAATTTCCCTTCCCAGTAAAAAGGCTAACGAAGTGAAGGAGTTGCTTCAGGTTATTTACCCTATTGTAGAAAGGAAGCCACCCGATGAAATAAAAGACGAAAATTGCCACTACCTCTTAAGCCTCGCACATGAATATCAAATAGAAGCCATTTCTCAGAGATGCGAAGACTTCATTGTCAAAACAATGAAGGAATCTTTTTCAGCGAAAAAGAATCCGGATATCATCGCAGAGCTGGTATTTGCACAGACGTACAACTTAAAGAAGCTAAAGCAAGCAAGCATTGAACTGGCTCAAAGTCTTACCCTTCCAGAGTTAAAAAAGCAAAAAGGTTACGATGAAATCCATTCAGAGAATCTTCAGGAAATTATGGAAAGCATGATAACACGGCTACAGAGTCAACTGACTGACACTCAGATTAAATTAAGTGAAGCTGAGCGGTCTCTATCTTATTGCCGTAAAATACCTCATCCAAAAACTCGTTAATTGAAATTGCTGGTTGGACTGGCCCGGAGGAAAATTACAGTCAAACCAGGTCAAGCGTTCCCGTCGCTAACAAACTAATGAATTCATTAATGGAAAAATGATTTCGTTTGTTGATTCAATAATCCATTCATAAAATGAATAATCCAACGGTCAAATTGTACCTCGATTCAATAATCAAATGTTGATTTGGTTTATGAACAAAATCTACCTGTTCTTTATTCTTGTCTGTTGTGTTCAATCGTATTTGCTTCCCTTTTCCTGCCGTTTACGATTGCGTTTTTCATTACCTTTAATCAAAATAACAGCTAGAATAGACAGACCGCAAACGCAAAGAAACTGACAAAGGCCGAGGATCGAAATCCACCAATCACCGCACATACACTGACCTCAGTTTGACCGTCGTGTTTTCTAAGAGGTCAGGCCTAGGTCTGTTGCACTGATTATTGGCAGCAAACTGGCGTACATGTAACAGTTTGTTTGGGTTTGAACTTCAGAACTCGCCAGCACTCGACTCTCCGAAAAAAAGGAGGAAAAAACAAAATTCTGAGATCAACTTGTGGAAAGTGTAATTTTTCAAAAAACAGTAATCGAATCAACATTCGATTATGGAATCGAGGCTAAATATGACTATTCGATTGTTCATTTTATGAATGGATTATTGAATCAACAAACGAAATCATTTTTCCGTGAATGAATTCATTAGTTCGTTAGCGACGGGAACGCTTGACCTGGTTTGACTGTAATATTGCATCCATCAAGAACCAAGCAGGTCATCACAGCGTTAATTTTTCTTTTTACTGTTTTTCATTTGCATGCACTTTACACTGAATAAATAAAATACCAGTTTTAGCCCGTGGCGGAGGGTACTCATGGGTCGGCCTTGATTTGGATAGGGAACCCACACTCTTACTTGTAAACTGCACATTGAAATTAAATGGGCGATAAAATCTTACCTGTTCTGTTCTTGAATCTGCTGCTGGGCAAAGTGAAATTGAAGTGGATATTTATAAGAAGTTGCTTGTTTAAGTGAAGCGAACAATTTCTAATGAATACCCACTTGCCGTCTTAGTTAAATAATAAAAAAAGCATTAAGCGAAAGTCTTGCTTTGAGTTGCTTCGAGGAACGTTCATCCATGACAGCCTTTAGACGCCAATCGCCTTTCTTTTGATTATTACTCCATAATTCGTGCCTTAATTGAATACCGCTTGAATGAAATTTAATGCGCCTTTTTTATATTTTCTTTATCTTTGCCGAAAAAATTTATAAATACGAAAGAGTTCTCGTTTCTTCCACCGACAGACTAGTAGCTTTTCCAGCCCGAGTTAGCTTTTTTTTTTAAAAAAAAAAACAGGTTAGGTGGTTCTAACGCTTATGATTTGTAATCTATGAAGTCTATCGCACATTTTTCAGTGAATGCACCCCTGAGCATCTGTGTAGGTTTAAGCAATTTATAGTACAAGACTCAGAGTATTGTGCTGCCTCCTTCAAAGAAAACAACTGCCCCTCTGGTATTTGTTTTTAATCAGATCCTGTTATGAATAAGTGTATTCAAAGCTGAATTTACACATAACTGGGCCCGAATCGAAAAAAAACGAATAATAAACTTACGGCGAACACAGAAGTCGGCCAGCTTTTTCTTTTAGGTCTTTTCTTTAGGACAGTATTCTATTGACTCTAACATTCGATATCGTCAACTGTAGATTGGCTACCCGAGAGCATCGTGCTTAAAAACGATTTTTTCCTTTATATTGACAGTCATTTTCACTTAGTTACCTCGAACTCTAACTTAAATTTCACGCAAATCATTTTCCCCGCCCGCGACTTTGGACCTGCGACCGCGACTTTCGACCCCCGCCCGCGATCTGAGAAGATGTATGTCTTGAAATTTTCAGATGTCAGTCTGACAAAATTTGAGCCAAATTATAATTTTGTGTTGCGTAAGTGAAATGATAGAAATTTGAGCTTCTTGATTTGGGGGCGTCGTAAATTTTGAATACCTTGCAATGATAAAACGTATTAGTAAAATCCAGCTAGTGGTCTATAATCAATGCTGCGTTCTGATTGGTTGAGCTACTACTAGGCTATATGTTATAGCCCACTAGTAGCGAAAAGCGCCGGCTTTGAAAACCAAAACATTGGCGGCTGAATCGCGTTTTTCTGGCTAAAGTTATTTTGTCCAAGAGACTATAAAGGGGACAGAGAGGGCATCCCCCATATACACCCTATTCCATAGGTAATTCGTCTCGAGTTATTTTTAGAACCGCAGATCCCAAGGGGGATTGGACAACAGCCAATCACATAGCGCGAATGTATTCCGCGTGGACGACCCACGCTAGAGCCACGCGTCCTCCACGAATTGACGCGGAACAAAATGGGGAAAGACGCGGAGAGCGATTTTGCTATTCCTTTTGTCGACGAAAACGACTACAGCGAGATTTCTGCGAAAGCTGTGTCAGCGAACGAAAATTAAAAAAGAATCGCCCTTCCTCTCTTGTATAGAGCTAACAGTACAGCAGGGAAATCCTTAACACACTGAATATTCTCTCAGGATCATTTATAATTTACAGTTTGAAGAGAGCAATTTCTGGTTTGATATTTATTCCTTTATTAGTCTTTTATTATTCAACAAAAATAACACTTTGCGTCCTACTTGCCTTATTAGGGACTTTAAGATCCAACGGCGAAACGGCGACAAGAATGTCGCTTAAAAAGTGAATTTGAGTTTTTTCAGTCTTTATAGCGATTATTCCTACCCACTTACTTTGTCAATTGTAGGCGAACCCTCCTGAAGCTGAATTTCAAGGGACCATATTCAAGCTCAGAAAGAGAAATAAAATTTCTTCGTTGCTTGTTTACGTCCTCCATTAAACGCGAAATTAGGCATTTTCACGTCGCAGTCGTGCAAAAACAGGAAAGAAATGAACAAAAAAGTGTGTTGCACGTGCGAAGTTGTTGTTTTGCTAATTAAACCTATTGTTTTTTTGACGTTCTAGTTGTCGTCCGCGTCGTTGGATTTTAAACTCCCTATTGTACAAACGACCGGTTTCAATAGACTGGCGAAATTTCTAATTTTATTAAAGTACTGAGGTTACGACAACTTCGAGTTAAACTGATTTCACGGGTTGTCAAAGAGTCCAGCGATTCCTTTTTCCCAGTGAGCGCCGACTCATTTCGCTTCAATATTCAGGAATGCTCTCGATCTTTTTACGCTATCATTGCCTTTCGCCCGACATGTTTTGCACGGCGTTTAGTCATGCGAAACCTTCACGAAACATCCACGCCTCGCGCGAGGTAACTTTATCCCGATTCTAAAAATAACTCGAGACGAATTACCTATGGAATAGGGTGTATATGGGGGATGCCCTCTATGTCCCCTTTATAGTCTCTTGCTCAGAGCCCATTCGGGCTCGAGGAATAATTGTTAAATATACTCCACAACAACGACAGTCAGTGCAGGTGTGATTAGTACTGGTATTAGTAGTGCCGCTTAGTATTTCTTTGGTGACTAAAACAGAAGGGTCACAAAATGAATTTATTCGTGGCATTCCTGACACCCGGAAGGAAACAAGATAACAGAGCGAGGCAGAATTAACCAAAAGAACGAGTTTACAGAGAAAATTAAGGTAAAAGGATCATGTAACAGTGATAAAAACTCAACTTTTATTTCCTTTCAGCATAAAAGCTTACAAACTCCATTCCTAGAAGTAAACCATGAAATCACGAACATTAAGTCATCCTAATAACAAAGCAGTTTCTTCATTCAGATTTCTGCAAGCTAAGTCGCTCCGTTTTTACTAAGGAACACGTCAGACAAATAACAGAAATAGAAAACACAGAGCACAGCAAAGTTTTGGTTGTTTCATATAGCAACTTCGGCGAAAAGACACTCCAGACGAACAAGTGATACCGCTGACTAAATACTAATGTACAGTAAACACAAAGGACCAGAGACTGGCAGACAGCGATAACGTAACACGCTTGGTTGAGAGAGACCTGTAAACTAAAGAAAATGATGAATAAAGTGTTCGTTAGTGTACGTTTAAAATCAAGACTCTTGTAGCAAACTGGGCAGAGCCCGACAATGTAGGCACAGTTCTCATTTATTTGGTAAAATTAGTTACGTTCTCATGGTCAGGGTTAAGATTTCATCTTTTTACCAGGAACTTGATCTGGAATTTTCTCTCTACCGACCAAAGGTTTACCTCGGGGTTTTGAGTCTTTGGAAAAATTCGTCAATGTAACCTTTCAAATCGGAGCCGAAATATGCAGCAATTTCTTTTCTAAGTCGATATGGTAAACATAATGGTTCCATCTTGCGTAGTGTTGCGGATAAAATATAAAAAAGAAACAGATAAAGTGATGTGAAGGTAAACTTGTACGCACCTCACTGCATCCCGGGTATTTCGTATAACAGACAAGATTCCAGCCATCAGCCACAGACAGGGACCGCAATAAGTGGCTACATATGTGAGAGGGACCATAATACTGGGTACAAAATCCTCTAGCCCCACATAGCCCGCAGAAATATCCACAGAGGCCAGGCTGTTTGAGTTCCCAAGGGAAAAGTACATCGCATGGCCCATCCACAAGGAACTGAGGGTAACGATCCACGACTTCTCTTTGCTACGGAGAAAATGTAATAAACAATAAGAAATAACAAAACAGCAAGAGTTCATGATGTAATGAAAAAACTTGTCAAATCTCAAAAGCAAGATTAACTGAATCAATTTCCTTCACAAGCGACAGAGTTCGCGAAGGAGTCTTATAAAGAATTCAAACCTCACCCATAAAAAAAAAACAAGATGTTGAAGGGACACCAAAGTTATAACATTCCAAAATCAAACAAGAAAGTGTTTCGCATCATTTCAGTTTGTTTGTGCGTTTATTGAAAAATTGCCACTTAACATTGCTAGATAATAGTCTTTTTGCAATTGCTTTGATGTTGACCTTCAAAAATGCATCAATTTAATTACCTAGAGGAGTACTCAACAAATGTTTA